TTGCTTTTGCAATTATCCATCAATTTTTTAAAATTAAACACTATCTACAGATTTGCATCGAAGCGTTTCTTATGATAGTGATTTTAATCACTGTCAGATTAAATCTATACTGGACCCAACTATGCAATGTCTCCACTATGCCGCGACCCCACTGTGCTACCGTTTTTTATTTTATGAATATTGATTTAAATTTGACTATTATTTATTTTTTTTAATTTTCTCTTAGTGTTGAAAATCTTAACTTATTACATAACAATTTCTCGCTACCGATTTGTCCACTGTCAAGATTTTTATATTAGTTGGTGTTTAATTTCTTAACTTACCAGTAATCAAGTCTAAGTGAGATATTTATATAAGTGAGATAATTACACATTTTATAAGGTTTTCATGTATAAAATTAGTAATTTATTTTTTCAAATATACAATGAAATATTTAAAAAAAAAAACAAATTTTAAAAATATATAAATTAAAATATAAAATATAAATTTTAAAAACAAATATTTTAGAAAAAAATATTGAAAAAAATAAAGTAATTTTAACCGAAGTTCAGATCACTAAAAATGATAAAATAAGAAGTTAAGATATGTTCAACCTATAAAAATATTAATGTCCTCTTAGAATCTTTAATTTATCCGCGAAGTCCATCTTATGAAATTTTGACTTCAAGTTAAATATTCTAAAAAGTTTACTATGTATTAAAGTTTTAGTTAAATATTCTAAGTGTGGTAAGCACTCTTGTGAAATATTTACAATAGGATATAATTCATTTGTGATTATACTATTTAATTTAAAACTCAATTGGGTTGTATACGACTTTTCATTTAAAAAATTATGAATTATTTGTTGAGCATTAGTAACAAAATGTATTAAAATTTCTTTTGGTTTTTTTAACTTACCAGTAATTATTTGATTTTGTGTTTGAAATGTTTTATAAAAGATTAAAAATTCTTTGTCATTAAAAAGATCTGTGTCCTCTTTCAGAAATTTATTTTCACATGGTTTACATGGAAATTTATCTAATAATTTTTTACCGAGATACCCAGCAAAATATACATTTGAGCAGGTTTCTAAAGTTAATGTAGGAACAGTAGTCAGATGTTCTTGTATGGTAGGACAGGAATTAGAGAAGGAAGATATTTCAGATGTGTCTGAACTATAATCGGAATCGATAGGATTTTCAGTTGTAGTTTCGTCGTTAGTCTCGTCAGTGGAAGATAAAGGTAAATCTAAAATATTAGTTTCATCATCTAGCTCACAATTTGAGGTTTCAGATGATCTCATTAAATTGTGTTTAGCTTGAATTCTAAATGATGCCCTGAAAGTTCTAGCCGTAGGATTCTTATTAAAACCTCCCCTTTGACGATAAACTGAAAAAGTGTTTTCTAAAACATCCTGATTTAACCTACTAGTTATTAAATAATCGTATCCTAAATTTTGCTGTTGCTCAAATAACATTATAACAGCGTTGATACTCCATAGCAAACCATCAAAACATGGAGGTTTTACTCCATATCTTTTAATAGGTTGTGATAATCTAAGGTCACTAATAATAATGTTGGCTTGTTTTAGAAAATTTAATTGTTTGGGATTTTTACTGTATAAAGCGCAAGAAAAAGGATTTTTATCAAAAAGTTTTGTACTGTTAAGAACGTCAAATAAATCATTCATGTATTTAAGAAAGTCTGCAGAAGCAGCAGCTGTTGACGATTTAATTTGTCCGGTACTTACACATGTTTTTATCACTGCGGACATAGTATTGCTAAAAATTTGTAGCGCTAATTTACAACTCATTTTTTGGAAAGGGCCAGGTTGAATGTGACTATCATTAATTTTTAAAAGAGCTCTACTGGTTCCACTGTTTTTATCTATGTTATAGGCCTCTTTAATATCATTAAATGATACTTCATTACCTCTATAAATAAAATTGTATTTTAAAAAATTATTTCTTAAACTCTTAAACAAATGCGGTATATCATAAATTGAAAATATTTTATTTTTTTCCAATTCCAAAAATGGTTTTTTTACAAACATACCTAAGTTTTTTAACGAAGCCGTATTATTAGTACCTTGATCACAAACTATTGAAGTCACAAGTAAACCTATTTGTGACGCTTTTGAAATTACGTCTACAATTAAACTACTTAAATTTGTTTGATTCATAGAAGTACCAGATAAGAAATATGCCAAAGGTAATTTCCACCTGCCATATAAGCCTCTGGCAAGAAATACCATGGCTTGAGAAGCAAGATAATTAGAACGACCTTTATGTCCTAAATCTTCATAACCCTCAACACAATCTAAAAATTTAGAGTACTCAAGAAAAGTTTTGATTTTCATTTCATCAAATGAAATTACACAAAATTTATCTTGTTGGGACATAAGCCCAACTTTAATTTTTATGTGGTCAAGGTAAGCTGAATTAAAACCGGGTCGGAATTTAGAGTTACCAATCCATCTTTTTATAGATGTTACCCCAGGTAAAACTATACCTTGGCGGTCTCTTAAAAATTTATATGTTGTAGGAGATTTATAAAATAAATTTAAAGCAAAAGTTTTTTGAGCTCGCGAATAAATTTTTCTAGACTTATTATTACGAAACATTTGCATTTCAGCTAAAATTTTAGAATTCTTACTTGAATATTTAATTTTTTTTATGACTTGAACTTGGTGTCTTGAACACTTTAATTTGTTTCTTAATTTAGACACAAGAGAATTTTTATTTTTCAATAATTTTTTATGTTTTTGAATAATACATTTAAATTTTTTAAAAGATGTACCTGGACTAGAAATATTTGGACATTTTTGTTCATAACTGTTCTCNTTTGGACATTTTTGTTCATAATTGTTCTGCGATACTTTGTGAGAAACAGGAGTGGATGGCATTTCAGTTAAATTGTTTATGAAATTTCTAGTAGCTGGTGACAAAGTAGAAGTTGAGGGTGAAAATAATTGTTGTGCACATAAAGAAACTTTTGGCGATTCTGTTGGTGTCTTTTCTTGTTTTTTTTTATAAGTCCTAACTGGAGTTCAGATTTAGACAAATAAATTTTTTTCTCACTAAGATAATCGGAGGCTTCAAAATGATTACAACAAACATACTTATTATACAATTCATCTACAGATAAATTTAATAAACTGGTGTTTCCTAAAAAATATTTATCCATAATTAATTTAATACCCTTCATTGAAAACTAAAAAAATGTTAAAAATAATAAATTGATCTATAGTCGTAACCAAATCGACTCATCTAGTGTTTTAACATTATACATTTTTTGATAAAAATCAGTCTTGTAAATTTAAGTAACTTAAATTATTCATTACTTTAATTTCGTTATTTTACTGTAACGAAATTACGAAATTTAATTATTTTTATTTCAAGTAATTAATAAGTAATTTAATAACATTTATGAAGTAATTTCAAGATAATAATGATACTTTTAAAAGAAAAACAAATGTTCATAAAATAAATAACAATTCACGTGTATAACACCCAATATAGTCCATAAATTGTTCTAATTCATCATTTTAATAATATTTGATATTTTTATACCTAAGCGAGAGGAAGAGTACGGCTAGAAAATGTCTAGTTATAAAAAAATAGCTCTACTCACTCTTTACCTTATAGAATTAGATATTCCATTTAAAATGTGGCTATGACAAATATTGAGAAATAGAACGGTTTATAAGTATTATTTTTAATGGTTTAGTATTTGGTTAAAAATATAAAAATACAATTTTTTAAAATTATTCTACAGTGTACAAAAGTACTTTATACATACCAGAGTTTAATACCCATTGCATCGATCGATCATCCTTCGGGAAACGGTGGAATCTGAGATTTGGGTTTTCTCTTTTGTTTTTACCGCAATTAAAAAAAATACACTTATTTCCACGTTGTGTACTCATTGTTATAATTATAATTATACAGATAATAATACAAATAAATATATTAAATGGTAAAACCACGCAAAAGGGACCTTAGTCTTCAGTACTCTAGTGAAAATATGAATAGTGATTATGAAATAGGAAAGATTTTTTATTTAGTTGGATATTTTTACATTGATAGGTTTTAAAAACAACACAAAAATACAAAATAGGCATGATAATTCGTGTTACAATAAGATGTAAACATCGCTAATACATCCTGTTTTTAATGCAATTCCAAATATAATCCTGGCGCCGAGATATCGTATTATTAAATCGTACTCTTTTACGTGGTCTATAGTACAATTGTTTTACGATCTCTCATAAAGTGTTAAATTTTATTTTTAATCGTGTTAAGTTTGTAAGGTCACATGAATTCATGAAATTGGGCTTGTCAGAATCTATCATTAAAGTAAAAATGACCCATACTAATTATACAACTGGAATTATATCTCTAGCTATATATATGATCCTATAATAATTAAGAAAATGTTTTTATTGGAAGTTGTATAACATAAATCAAAGATAAATACGCAATCATACCGATTTTAAACACATCAGAAAAAGATATTTCGATTTCTATAAATAATATTAAATTTGATTTTTTAGCACAAGATTTCGTGCTCATAAATAATATGTAAATACTATCAATTGTAATAATGTTAATACTAATAATAATAATAGATTATCTCTTTTAAATCAAAACCTTAATTTAAATCATTTAAACAGTAAAGAAAAGTCGTCTATTAATAATTTATACAATCAATTTAATGATATATTAATTTTATCCGATGATAAATTATCTTATACTAATCAAATTGTACATAAAATAATTACTCCTAATGCTCATCCAATTAATATTAAACAATTGATACCCTATGTGTCATAACGAGGAAGTTGATAAACAATTAAAAAATCTTTTAAAGCAAGGTAGCATTGAAAAGTCAAATAGTCCATGGAACTCGTCTAGAATTCTAAATTTTATAAAGGAATATATATATATTATGTTTTGTCTGTTAATAAATATTTTTTTGATTTGTTTTATACTCTTTTTTTGTTATTTTCATAAAAATTATAAATTAATTGTTCAAAAAAAGAGTTATATGAAAGATTAAATAATCTGAATTATTTTTACCATGTCAGAAATATTTATTAACGATATTTTTTAAAAAGGCACTAGTATAGAATTTACTCAATACCTACAAAAAAGAATGAACCAATAAGTTTATACTTATTTGAGTCATTATGCTTTCTGTTTAAAATAATTTATAAAAATATTTAGAGATCAACAGTTTAGCTTGTACTGTAATACCACATTTTATAACGTGTATAACAATAACTTTAATTATGTGCATCATACATTCATTTAATAATTATTAAAGATTTAAAATACCACGTATATTTCAACCAATAGAAGCACTCAAAATTTACGCTATCTATCAGCACAATCGCCTGCGTCCAGCGCATCGTTTCCCTGCGTCCATTCATGATAAAAATTAGACTGCCAAAATTGTGTACGGCGTGGTCTATCTATGTGTATTTAATCTATGGTAATACTGATAGTAAGTAGTTTATGTTACATCTATCACAGATTATATGAAAAGAGATAAATCATTCGGTCGAGAATAGAAAAAAGTCAAACTCTCTGATTGGGAGCAATCACGGCAGTGAAGACCGTTGTGCAATTTCACATTATTGTGCAAAATATTGTACAATTCCTCATCAGTATCATAAATGGTCAATGATATGAGAATATGAAATATTGCATTTTAATAATTGAACGATAATTAATAATAACTAATGGTGTACTTACCTTTTTTAAATAACGTTTTGTCTTAATAATATATGTTTAACAAATCGAAAAAAACCAATAAAAAAATAATTAATATTATTTTTATTCTTCGATTAATTAAAAGGTTTATGATAAATAATCAATCTGTATTAATATACTAAAATTCAAAAAAATTATTTTTCAAAACTATAATAATCATTTTTAATTATTTATTTAATTCCCATCTGCAATTCAAAAGAAAAATACAAGTAGAATACTTTAAATAAATTTAAAATTTAATAATAGTCAAAAATTTAATAATCTATACAATTACATAAGAAAAGTTCTCATACATTTGTATAAATTTATTTTATTTGATAAATTTACGTATGTAATATTTTAATATATCAAAAAATGTTTTTTATTTCATTACATTATATTAAATTATTAAATAGAAAACCCCTTATTAAACTAAAGATTGCAGTCCAATATTTATTATTAACTATTTTAATTTCAAACTTTTATCAATGTTTACAATTGTAATAATTTTGGGAGATAATTTTTCGGACATAGAATAGAGAATAGAAAATAGTACAGTTATTTATTATACTTCAGCCACAGATTAAAAGAAATTTCATTAATTCTGTGCCTAATCTTTGACTGTAAAAATCATCATAGGAAAATTTTATATTTCATAAAATAAAATCATACTTTTAATGCTCTCTCGCGGAGAAGTATTGTACTTATTATTTATTAAATTATTATGTTATAATATATTTGTATATATTAAACGTGTAAAAATAAAATTCCAAATTTTAATTTTAAATAAGTTATTGAAAATTTAAATGGAAAAAAATAATCATTTAAAGTTAAGAGTAATATAAATTCAAAATATTTTCTAACATTTTAACTTTCTATAAGACACAACGCTTTTAGAAGGAAACTAATTTATCAATTTTGGTTCTTAGTTAACGGGATAATGAGTAGTCTCTTATCAAAAAATTAAACACAATAACAAACAATATCTTTATGGTATACCTTGAATCACTAAAAATTTTCAATTGTAATTGTACTTATTAAATAAAATAACTTTTGTTAAGTGGAACAATAGATGTAAGATTAAATTTATGTTGCCAAAATTAGTAAATTTATACATAGTGAATTATGCTCAATTATATGTTTATGTAAAAATTTGCTCAATTATGGAACAGCAACATCGAAAACTCATTGATCAAAACATATCTAGGTTAGTTTCTTTAACTTGTAGTTTAGAGTGTATAATAAAAATACTATTACAGAAAAATGTTATTAATAAATGGATGGCAGAATATATAATGGTAAACGACTTTATCTCACCAAGTTTAATGTAATATAAATATATTTTAAACAAATACTGGTTTTTGGCAGACTCCTAGCAATGAATCTATTAGGAAAAAAAAATTTTATGAGGTTATACAATGCCGAGGGCCAAATGCGTTCACTATTCTTTGTAAAACTCTTGAAGAAACTTCAAACATTGAAGCTCGTAATGTTTTGTTATCATCCAAAACAAAGTAATATTTTATTATAACATGAACATTTAGTAATAGCTTTTTATACATTAGATTTTGAGTGTTAGTCAAAATTAAAATATTTTATTTCAATTTTTTTTTTTATCAAAATATTTTAATAAAAATAGTAGATATAAGTTTAATAATGATAAGTTAAATTATGAATGTAATTTTTGGCTCTTTCTTTAATTTTTAAGCTTTATTTTATTTTTTAGTTTTGCTAGTTCTACAGTTTTATTAAGTGAAAGTATGAATGATGTTAGTATAAGCAATAGTGATAAAGTGTATAGATTTATTAAAAATAATGACAATTATGTAAAAATTTCTCCAAATCGTCAGCGTATGGATATAGAAATGGATAATTCACCAAATGGAGTAACTTAATTTTAAATATTTAAGAAAACATAATCTAAAAATATGTTTTTTCAGGTTTACCATATGGGATCAAAACCAAAAGGCCACGCACTTATTATTAATATTAACAAAGTATCTACCAAACCAAATGAAGAAAGAACTGGCTCAGATGTTGATGTTAATAGTTTAAAGAAATTATTTGATGGCTTAGGTTACAAAGTTAAAATTAAAATTGATATCACACAGGCAGTATGAATATATATATTTTTTTGTTTTAATGAAATATTATAAATTAATATCTATTTCTATTTCTATGAGAGACTGATATCAGGGTTATTAGACTACCAAAAAGCTAATAAAATTAAAAATAATGTGGATTTTTATAGCCCATAAATTATGGAAATTCGAAAGTTATCTATCATACAATATTTATCTCTAGAATGAAGCAATAAAAACAATGTGATGTAGAAAGAAATTTGTTTAAAGCATATATTATTTTGAAATAGTTACCTCCTACTTCAATTTAATGAAAAGACTTTGTTTTCATGTCCTTTTATATTAGAAATATTTATAGTCACTAATTACCTATTAATTTATAGTTGTTAAACATTATTATATTATTTTGTATAAAATATTGTAATTTAAATATTATAATATTCAATATTATAATTTTTGGTAATGAAACCATATTATTAGTTGTTATATTAGTTCCATTTGTAATAAGTATCAAATCAATCCTAATTATTTTTTATAAATTTTTCAGAAATTTCGAAAAGTTATTAGTGGTTTTAGTGATGTAAAAAATCACCAGAATACTGATTCTATTATTGTTGTTATAATGAGTCACGGTGAAGCTGGATGTGATCCTTTTAGATCATCAGACATAGTAACTGCAGATGGTCACAAAATTAATACTGATTGGATAATTGAGCAATTTGTTTCTAATAAGTCTTCTAAAAATATACCCAAATTATTTTTTATACAAGCTTGTAGGTATGTATTAAAACATTTTATGAATGTTGATATTATTTTACTGTTTTAATTAAGATATATAAAGAAAATATACTGGTTAAAGACTATCATAAAATTAATTGTATAAATAAGTGCAAAAAAGGGTGATAATTTGTTTACATTTTGCTAATTTTTCACATAAAATTTAAGGTGGCCTGAGACTTTCATTCAGGACACTTAGTTGTTATTAAAATAAAATTTATGTTACAAATTGATTAATTTTAAAAATATAGAGGAGAAAATAGTGATTATGGATGGTCTAAACCAACACCTCACAAACCTTCAATAGAAAATGATACTACTAGTACTGGTACTAGTGGAACTGGATCTGCTCTTTCTCGACGTTATGAAAATATATTTATTGCTTATTCAACTGTACCTGGTAAGATTTAAATCTTCATATTGTTACCATATACTGAAAAACCTCTATCTCAACTTAAAAAAAAAAAAATTGACAAATATTTAAAAAAAATTAATTATGTACTATTAAAGCCCTAAATGAAGTAGTTACAGTCATTATATAAGGAGTACAACCGTAATACTGATTGAACCTATATGGAAAGCCTTTTAAACGAATTCATTATATAGTGAAATAACATAATAAAAAAATAAAAGTTGTTGTGTTATAACCTTTCCATTGTCAGGGGAATATATTACACATGTATGTTAATATTTTAGATTTTTATGAAAAGCTTATAAGGTAAAAGATAATTAATTTTCTCTTCTATATCGTTCAATTTCAAACTTCATGAATTTCATGCAAGTGTAATTATATTACTTTGATTGGATATATTTCTCCAGAACTTTCTATTCCCTTCATTCTGGATGCTTTCTGACTTTGACATTTGTGTAAGGATTTTAATCTATATAGTGACTACGGGACTTGCCTCCTTTTTCTTTTGACTTTTCCTAGAGTGAATTAATGTCCTTTTTAATACTATCTCTTCTTATAACGTGTCCAAGAAATTTGAGTATTTAGCTCTGAATTGTGATCCAAAAGCAGTCTTGGGCTTGTATTTTAAGTTCTTATTAAGTTTGTATTATTAAAAAATTTGTTCTATAGTTGGTCCATGGTATTCGATGGCTCTATATGCAGCCGTTTAAAATGCTTCTATTTTTTGTTTACACAATGAATTTAAGGTCCATAATTCAGATATCATTATGGAGAATATTAGTTATTTCATTAGATATAACTTTCTTTCCTGATATCAAGAGTCTTCCATATTTTGACAAATTTGATAATTGCAGTTTTAGCCATACTCGCTCTTTGTTTAATTTCCTCTTCCGAATCACCTTTATTTGATAAAAGTACACTTAGATATATTATATTGTCTTTATGATCTGTATCGAGTATGATGTTAAACATTGTAATGTTTTTGTTCTATCAATAGTGATTCTTGATCAGTTTGATCTATTAAGTTTTAGACCTGCGTCATTGCTAAATTATTCTACTAGTTCTAGAAAGTTTTCTATTTCCATTTCTGTTTTTGTTAAAAGTACTTATCATCAGCATATCTTAAATTGGAAATTTTCTTGCCTCCAATCGACACTCCTCTATTCTATTTTTGTGTAGCTTATCTCATAATCCGTTATCCATATGTGTTAAAGAGTAATAGTGATAATATGCAGCCATTTCCTATTTTAAAACTTTCAGAAAGATCAGACATATGCTTAGTTATTGGCATATATTATTTTTATTATTGCTTTAAGGTGCTCTGAAACTTCCATTTCTTTTAGAACGAGCCACAGAAAATTCCATATAATGATGTCAAAAGCTTTAGTATAAACTAAAAAGCTGCAAATAGTTGTAATATTTTACTCATAGAACTTTTATATTGTCTGTTAAATGTGTAGAAGTTGGTCACTTGTTCTTATTCCTGGCATGAATCCTGTTTCTTCTTGATAGATTTGTGAAAGCAGATATGGTTTTAGCATTTCTTGTATCATATGCAAGATAGCATGATCTTAATTGTATGAGGAATTAGTTGCCATATTTTAATTACTTCTAGCTATGTTGTTAGTGTCACACCATTTTCATCTTTTATAGATAGGTGTCTAGGTTTGAAACTCTGATATAACACTGCCACTTTTTTAATAAAAAATCTATGCTCTTGCTTAGTTTTATATAGTTTTATTTCTTTGCATATTGATTTTATAATTTGGTCTTTTTTCTTTTATAGGCTTTGGTTTATCGTCCAGCATAGTTCATTGTGTTCTATTAGTTAACAATCTTCTCTGATACCTCTTATTTTGATTTATTCTTTTTTTTAATTAATTCATTTATGGTGTAGGATCCATGTTTTTTTCGGTCAATTAATACAGGGTACCTCTTTGTGAGATAGTAAGATTGCAGTCTTATTAATTTTATCATGATGCTATTTTTTTTCATCAATCATAAAAATTCTTAGCTTTCACTGGACAGATATTGCTAATCAATATGTCAAAAGAACCCACATTTTATTTAATTAAAGACAATTTTCTAAATAATTGAAAAAATCATACTGAAATTTTTTTATTAAGAAAAAATTCCAAAAATTTTACAATAGTAAAAATTTTCCCTCCAATAATTTTAAATTGTTATAACTTTTTTCAAACTGGATCTAAAAATTAAAGTAATATAAAACACTGCCAGATATCAATATTTTTTCATTGTAGCGTCTATCTATTATAAGCCAAATTTTATTTTAGACTCTTTCCAAAAAAATATCCTATAATATAAGCCATTACTGAGACATACAAAAAAATTATAATCATAAATTTGTTGATATTACTCTATCAATATATATATATACAGGGTGATCGAAATCTGTTAAGACACTTATTTTCTCAGAAACTATTGAGAATTTTAAATTTTTTTAAAGAGAAAAAATATCAAGTTCAAAAATCTCTACATTAATATGTAGTCAAATCATTATTATTTTCGTCCCTTCAGGGATAATAATCCTTATTTATAATTTTCTTAAATGGGAATCCTAATTTTTAATTTATAATATTATAGAAAAAAAAAATTACAAACAACTTAGTTAATACAATTTTTTTTTTCGATTAACCATTCGTCTGTTACAGCTTGTTAAAGTTAAGTGATTTTAGTCCAATTTTCTATTGTTATTTTACTGTATTAATTACAGAAGTCATTATTTTGGTTTGCTGTTGCATAAACCAAATTTTATTGATCAAGTTATGACAGGTAAATTAGCTATAATAATCTACGGCACACCAAATAAGTGATAACAATAATAGATTCAAATCGGGTTTTCGATGTGTTATTAATAGCAAAGTCTATGGATGTGTGAGACTTATAAATAAAAATAATGACTTCTGTATTTAATACAGTAAAATATCTATAGAAAATTGGACTAAAACTACTTAACATTAAGAAGCTGTAATGGACGAACAGTTAATCGAAAAAAAAAATTGTATTAAATAAGTTGTTTGTAATTTTTTTTTCTATCATATTATAAAATTAAAAATTAGGGTTCCCATTTAAGAAAATTATAAATACGGGTTATAACCCCTGAAGGAACGAAAATAATAATGATTTAACTACATATTAATGTAGAGATTTTTGAACTTGATATTTTTTCTCTTTAAAAAAATTCTCAATAGTTTCTGAGAAAATAAGTGTCTTATCGATTTCGATCACGCTGTATATATATAATATATTATTTGTATGTGTTAATAATTTTATTAAAATGGTAAATATATATACAGATATATCAGATACCTATGATTCATTCTACAGAACAATACTTCTGAAGGAGCACTTAGTACAATTTTTTTTTTAAGTTGAAAGTGACATTAAAATTTTATACGAAAATAAAATTATATCACAAGGCTTCTTGAAAAAATATCTAAGAAGGGGTTACTTGATTTTTGATAAAGATTCACCATTTCCAAAACCCACTTATTTTTTTACCACTCGCATTAAAAATTGTAATTTTAGTTATCTACATGAATTTGTTTGTATTTTTCACAAAATAAAGACTTATTTAATAGATTAAAATCTATATAATTGATTAAATCTTTTGTATTTTTAATAGTGTAAATTATTGAATATTAAAATAAAAATCCAGTTTATTCTTTGATTTTTAATTTAATCAAAAATACATTATTTTTCAAAAATCTGCTTTTTGATTTAATTTATTTAAAATAAATGTTTAATTTTAATTAAACAGCATTATACATAATTAATTATGATTGATCAATCTATATAAAAATTAATAAAAATGTTTATCAAAACTGATACATTTAATAATAAATTTATTTTAAGGATATTATGCAAAACGTGATACAGTACATGGATCTTGGTTCATACAGAAATTATGTGAAGTTATTAGAGAAAATGCTTGGCAATATGATTTAGACACAATGATGGGAATGGTTAGTTCACAAATTATGATGTTAGTCCTTAAAAAAAATTGGTCTATATTAATGTGATAAACTTGTTTAAAGGTGGATACCGAGATAAAAAAGCTCAATAGTATTGAATATGGATTTCAAACAGTCGAATGGAAATATAGGGGGTTTAGTAAAAAGTTTTATTTTAATCCTGGTCTCTATGATGATGATGAAGTTCTTGAAAGTGATCTTTAATAGTATTTATTTATAATTTTTTAAGTTTGCCTAATTATTGATATTTTTGATAAATTTTTATAAGCTTTATAGTACAAATTTTGAGTACATTACTTAATATAATTATTATTTATTTTTGTACTTAATATATATTAATAAAATATTTTTATTATATATAACAAGTTAATTTTTTCATATCAAACCACTATTTTATCATACATGTTTGGTTTTTTTCGCTGGATAGCAAAATCTACATTTATTATTGTCTAAACTAAAAACCAGTTTCAAAATAATTTTACATAATTTTTAAAAGCTGCATTCATTTATTCAGTTGAAATTTAGTGTTAAAATAAAATATAAAAATTTAAAGAATAAAAAGGGAGAGTTGGAGTTTGTTGCTGATATTTAGCCTTTGAATTAACTTTATGAGATATTGTTAAGACTAATAAATTTTATAACCCTTTCTATGCGTTTATAAATTTTGTTGAAGTCACTTTGAATAGTAACATATAACATTAGTAAAAACATATAAGTTTTTTTTAACATATAAGTTTTCAAGCCAATTAATACAAATTTGTTTAGCTGATAGTGTGTTCTGAATTACTTAACAAAATTTATAGATGTATATAATGCTCTATAATCCTTAGTTTAGGTAAAGGTATGCTAACTAAGAATTTACTTTTTTACTGTTCATATTATTTTCCTAAAATTTTTATTGAATTTGTTATGACTATGATATAGTAATTTGATTCTAAAATATGTTATTTATAACGAACATATTTTATATATTTAGGTAGTTTAAATGGATATATATTTTTTTTGAAATAAAAAATATCGGTAGTAATCTGTCAGGAAAGAAGTAGTTAAATAAAGTATTATTAACCTGTGTATCATACTTTTATTTTTATAAAGTTAAATTTAGCAGTTTTTATTGCTATATTTTAAGATTACGAGTGTCATTACACATACTCATTATGCCAGGGGGATTACCAATATTTGTCTAATATAACCCAAAATTCATTTTTACTAAAAATTAAATTTTACACATCATTCGCTCAATTTTTGATAAATTATAAATAAAAATATTGGTAGTAAATATGTTTATCTTCCTTTTAAGATAAAAAATTAATTTTTATTGGTATACTTTTTATTGAAAATTTTCCTTAGGTGTGTGCTGGTTCTCCCATTTTCTTTTACTAGTATTATTCTATTTATGTTAAATGTTCTCTCTGAAAAGTTTTGCTTGTGATAAAATTCTAGAAAACTTAAAAAGCTCAGTGCAATCATGTCTTATCATCTGTGCACAAAATATATTTTCCTAAGACTAAATTATAAATATGTAAAACATTTTATTTTAAGTTTAAAATGAGTTAAAATTGTGGTTACTGTTTTATTTTATTTAACATCCTTTTAAGAAACTAACTCAATATTTGAATAAGGGCGAAATAAAATCGTTTACAAATATAAGGAATACCAAATTATATAGGTTACATTAAAATATATTTAAGTTGAAATAGTTCAGATTAAATTTGTTTTTCAGAAAAACATTCAAATTATTTATGACATACATTATTTTACTACTTTGTTATTTAGTTGCATAGAATAATCTAAATTGAGACCATATATATTTTTATTTATTCATTTGTTAATTTTATTAATTATTTTACAATTACAAAATTTATAAACTAAAAAAGTATTAATTAATTTGAACTATTGCTACTACTCCTACTGCTACTACTGTTGTTTCTCCTTTTTTTCTTCATTGATTTTACTTCTTGCTTCATGATTATTCTTTGTTCTTTCATCATAATTCTATCCATTCTATCTAATCGTCTTTAAAAAAAAATTAAAACTATTAATATATAAAAGTTTATAATAAAAAAGTTGAATTTGCTATCATAACTTTTAGCTCAATTTGCAAGTTTGAAATTGACATCATTTAATATAAAATTTTATGAGAATTAAATTAATTTCAATCAATTGAATTAAAAAATGGTATTCTTAAGATTAATAGCAGTTAGTGAATTTTATACAGCAACATGTACAAAAAAATTGCAATATTATAGACTGGTAGTAGCACACACAAATAGAGTTCAAAAATTGATAAATTATAAAGTAAAATTATTTAATTTTGTAGTTGAAACCTATTATCATATCAACCCTAATTATTTTTAACCTAATTTATAATTATAAAACCTAATTTGACAATACTTTAAAAACATTAGAAATGAATGATTTTAATTTTCTATATGAATAATGTGGGCTAAGTAACTTTTTAATTGATAAAGTGGAATTTTTTTCAATTTTTGAGAGTAATATCTTCAACTAGATAAGAATTGTATTTATATGACGCATCATTAAAAAAAGTAGGCCAAGTAAAAGCTAAGAAAATAAATGACAGCCACAAAAAAAAGTAAAATTTTAATGAATAACAAATTTTTTCTTACGAGGGAAAATTACAGTGATGGAATACTTAATATTCATTGAAGTTATTGAATCTAAATGAAATAAAAATCAAATGAGTTGAAAATGTTTTTCTAATAGAAAAAGAATTGTGAAAAAAAAATGTAATAAAATTAATTGATAGATTTGTTACCGACACCACGACAACCATAAGTTGAAAAAGTTCTAGTTTCTATATGTGTGTTTAAAGTTTTAAACCTATCCTGTATAAATAAAAAAGGTCTAATTTAAAAAAAAAATGTATTGATCCATATATATTTTAAAAGTTATAGAATTATTAAGTTAAAGATATACAATCGAGAGTTTTATTACAAAAATAGCATATTTTTGAAATGGTAGCCATTTTCACCATGAAGACAATCTAAAGATAAAAAATTTTATTTTCATATTAAAGTAAATTACATAAGCTTTAATTTAAGATTTATAAAAAGTGTCAGTATACACTATCAAAAGCTACTAAAAAATTTAATATTTGTGGAAAAGTTATCATTTATAATGTCCCCCTGTGGATAGGTAAAGAATCAGACTTAATGTATCTAAAAAAATGTTTGTTTCTATTCATTCAATTTTTAAAAAATTGATGGGAATTTTAAGTAAAAAATTAAAAGAAACCCAGCACAGTGGGATCGTGGCATAGTTGAGTCCAGTATAGATGATATCTGAAAGTGATTGAAATCACTATCTTAAAAAACGCTTCGATGCAAATCTGTAGTGTTTAATTTAAAAAAAAAAATTTGTCAAAAAAATAGGTCAAATGAGAGCTGAGAAAATAAATGATAGCTACAAAAAAAAAAACCACATAGTAAAATAATATTAATATGAATTTCTTCTCACGAGAGGAGACTACAGTAATGGAATCCTTGATATTTATTGAAGTTATTGAATCTAAATGAGATAAAAATCAAATGAGTTAAACATTTTATTCTAACTCAAAAAGAATTAAAAAAAATTCAGTGCCACAGTCGTGAAAGACCCAAGTGTTACCGTCTGAAAAACCGTGCGTCTCATTCGTCACTTAATAAAAATGAAAATTTAGCTAGTTCAAATTTTAAAGTTATTTTTCTCGACTTCAAAGAAACAAAAAAATTTAAATATGATTAAGTTTTTATACTATGTCATTTAGATTGATATAATATTTATGAAAATCAGTGTAATCCCCTTATAATAAAATAAAATACAAAACTTAGAATTTTAATAGAAAAATAGCAAATTTTTGAATACGGTAGCCATTTGCACATAGAAGATAGATCGTCGGGACAAATTTTTTTTTTTCATTTTATAGTACATAAAATAAGCTTTAATTTGATATATGTTTAAAGGATGCAGTATTTCCTGAACATTTTCAAAAATTAAGTTAAAAAAGTTGTTATTTTAAATCCCCCCCAATGAGCAGGTTAAGTGTTAGATTTTCAAAAAAATAATATCAAATGAATGGGAAATATCTAAGGTTTTAGTATAAAAAAAATTTTTTGTTGATTTGTTTATTTTTGAAAAAGTCTTAAGAAAAAAAGTGAAAAAAATGACAAAATTTACCGATTTTTAAATTTATAATTTTTTTGGATATTTACCCCATTTGCGGGAAACGAGGGAAAATTTTTCAATTTTTGAGGGTAATGTCTTCAACTAGATACGATTTGTGATCTTTTGACGTATTGTTGAAAGAAATCGGTCCAGTGAGAGCTGAGAAAAAGTGGCAACAGACATAAAAATAAAACATTATGTAAATACATGAGTAAAAAATAATCATAAATAATNAAGAAAAAGAGGCAAAAAAAAAAAAAAAAAAAAAAAAAAAAAACACACATCATGGTAAAATTAAAACCTTCTCAGCTTCGCATCGAAGCTAAAAAGTTTAAAAAATGTGGAAAATTACTAATTTTTAAAAATGTAAATTTTTTGTGGATTCTCCCATTTACAGGGAATGAAAGACATTTTTTCAATTTTTGAAGGTAATGTCTTCGAATAGTAAAATTATTACCTTCTTAGCTTCACATTGAAGCTTATAAAAAAATATATCTTATCATGAATTTCGGAAACTATTAAGTTTAATTTATGGAATATTCAAAATCAAACTTTTTAAACTGAATAACTTTTACTATATTAAAAACTAAGATTTAGAAATATATAAATGAAAGTACTAAAAAATAACTAAATAAAAGCCCTCTACTTTTTTGTCCTGATTTCTGTCACGCCAATACTTTATGTTTTGATTTACATTATTCTATAGTTCATAAATTATTCAATACTTTGTTTTTAGTTTTTAAGCATAATGACTTTTTAAAATCTTATAAAAATGTTATATAAATAAATAATTTACTTTAGTAATTTAATTTTTTTTTTCCTTGTTAACGATTTTATATACATGAAAAGTTCTGAATCACTATCCGCACCATTATTCTGTAAAAGAAAAATTATTGCAACAATGAATTACATTTTCATTTTCAAATAAGAATGTATACTTTGATAAGATTATTAAAACTTACTGAACATGAAATTTGTTGTTGAGTAGAAGCTGCACTTTTCTTTAAAGCTAAACCGTCTTCACGCATTTGTTTGATTAAATCTTGTGTTTTCATATTAGAAGAAGAGCCATTTGCTGAGACACTTGTTACCGCCTCAGATATACTGGCTTGGTTGAATAAGGGACATTCTTTATCTTAAAATATATGTTGAAAATTAAAATTTTTTATAAGAAAAATTTGATTTGGACTAGGCCAAAAAACTTTGTAGGCACATATAATTTTTCCGAGAATTTACTTCCTAAAAAAAAGTTGTACAGCACTATAAGCAGTTCTTTAAATGATTTATGGTTTTTTTCTAAGTGAAACATAAAATCAAAAGGTGATATTCTAGAAAAGTTAGATAAACATTACATTTACTATAATAAAAACAGGTATAAATTGATACCTGACAGTGATGAACACCACAATCATTAATGGTTTTGATATGAAACTGTCAGTCCTAAAATATCTCTTGATTTTAAGAACGCAATTTATATAGTAGTAAATGTAATAGTTAAATATCATAACTTACAAATAATTTATTCCTATTTAAATTTAAATTCATTACTTAAACTAGAATTTCCCAATAGTTATTTCTTTAAAAGAAATTATATTATAAGTTAAAATTTCCTCCTGGACGTTTTAACTTTTCAAGGTTACACTACATAATTTATTGGCTAGTACTATATTATACATCATAGTTATACAGTGATAATGATGACACTTATAAGGGATAAGGAAAAGATCTAATAATTATTTAATCATTTAAAAATAAAAAAAAATAAAAATTTTGTTTTTCAATATTATTATTATTTTAGGAGAAATTTAGTGGTTAACAATAAATTAATCTTCCTGTATAAGTCCGAATGTTTAAAAAGAGATAGTGTGTAAATAATATAATGGATGTAACAAAGTAAATATTAGTGTTAATTTTTTTTAATGATACTCACAGAATATTTAGCCAACATGCTAATTCTACCCAAATGCTAGATATTATACCAAAACTTATAGTTCATTGATACAATATCTTTGTTATTCTCTATTCTGTGACTGTAGTGGTATGTATTATACATAATTGTAGAGTAAAAAGTTTCAACATTAATTATGAGATTTAGTCAATCAAGTTATATGAAATTTGTCATATCAAGACCCATCTTTATGACAAAATATATTGAGAAATACCATTGTGAAGCCATATTAATAAATGTTTATTACATTAAAATTATATAAATTTGCTTAGTATACATAAAAAAATTAATTTGCATACAAATAAACTTTCTTGAAATTTTCAACAAAGGGTTTACATAATGGTATTTTTGAAAAGAACTTTATTTTTTTTAGGGTATACATTGATTTATGAGTATATACCCTGCAATATAAATAGTACATAAGTATTATTTTTTTAAATTATTTAAAAATTTTTAATGGTAAACATCATATAACACCAAAACACCATTGTGTTTAAGCTGTACATCAATTGACAATAAGTGGTTAGAAATTTATAACTTATTGGACACTTTGATATTTAATTTTACTTCAAAAGTATTTTATTTATCAAGTTTAGAATAAATTATTTATTATTCAACTACTTACCAGTATTAATATGTCCCCATTTGTGACACTTGATACAGCGAACATTTCTAACTTGAATTCCAAAAGGTTGATCTCGAATTTCTTGGTCACCTTTGCAATAACTATAAATAAGTTAATTGATAATCATTTATTACGAGTTATTAAGTTAAAAAAACAGAAAGGAACTTTGTCAACATATATACTGCATATAAACACTAATTGATATCATCATTGACATAATTTTAGTAGTATAAACCCACATTTTGAAAATTTGAATAAAAAATTAAATAATCAAATTAAAAAAAAATTAGAGATATTAAATAATATTGTTAATAATCATTATTTATTAAATAAAAAAAAATTATTTTCTTAAGATATTCTATTATAATTTTAATACATTAATGTACTAAACACTTGATAAACAAAAAATACATACTCTTCTCTAGGAGCGTTGAATTTTCTTTGCCATTCAAATTTGTATTCTGGTTCATTATCTTCACGTTCTCTTTCCTTCTTTGCTCCAGGAGGTGGCTCATACATAAAATTTACACTCAATTTATCTTTACTTTCTTTTGACAACAATGCTCTACAGTAATTTTTTTAAATATAAATTCATCTATTAAAAATAATTTATATAAACCTCATTAATAAATCATATTATTTTATCTCAGAAATCCTTAATTTTACTACAATGAATATACATATATATTTATAATTTGTTATAATAAATAATCAGATTTTCTGGATCAATATTGATTAATGACACGTCAAAAGATCATAATTTATAAATTATTTTAAACAGTGACTTACTCGTGGTATTAAAAGGGATAAGTTCCCTATTAGTGACACTAAACTTTTATTTAGAAAAAACGGTCATGAAAAATATTATTATTTATATAAAATAAAATAAAAAATGTTCCCAAACTACATCCTTAGAAAATTTTCTTAATATAGGTTAAAAAAAAAACCCAGCACAGTGGGGTCGCAGCACAGTGGTGACGTGGCATAGTTAGATCAAGTATATTGATATCTGAGAGTGATTAAAATCACTATAAAAAAAAACGCTTTGATGCAAAACTTTAGATAGTGTTTAATTTTAAAAAATTGGTGGATTATTCCAAAAGTTACATGATCTGCTAGTTCCTTATTAATATCCTGATTAAGATAAAGTATGTCGAATGAAAAAGGGATTATTAAAAAATATTATTTCTCATAAAAAAATTGTGTTGATCCATACACTTTTTAATAAGTTATAGCATTATAAAGTTAAAAATTTTAAAAATAAAATTGAGAATTTTCATACAAAAGTAGCATTTGATAGCCATTTTCACCATGAAGACAAAATAAAGTCCAAAATTTTATTTTTTAATATTAAAATATATTACATAAGCTTTAATTTAAGATATATATAAAAGTGTCAGTATTTCCGGAACACTTTCAAAAATTAAGTTGAAAAAGTTCTACTTTCTATATGTATTATTGTTTTGAACCCCCCTTTAATAAGGGAAATGATCCGATTTGAAAAAAGTATGTCGAATGAAAAAAATAGACACAAAAAAAAAAAAAATACATCATAGAAAAATTAATACTTTCTCAGCATCGCATCGAAGCTAAAATATTTTATGTAAAAATCAGAAGTTTTATGTACTACTATAAAGATAAGAATTATAAAAAACACTAGTCGACATTTTTTAGATTGTTCTTTTTTAATTTCATAACTTGATCAATATTTTTATTATATGAATGATTGTATATGTCAAAAATTTGAGTACAACTTAAAGAGAATAGATAATTTCTAAGTTATTACACAAATGTTTTGGCAAAATGTAACTTTACTTGTTGTTATAAAGATCTTGTTCTTTTTCATATTGAAGTCGTAGTTCTTCCTGACGTTTTTTATCTTTCTCAGATTTCTGTTCGGCCATCCATACCTAATCACAAACATAGTAATACTTTAAATTAATTTAATTTAAAGTATTTACAATTAATAAAAGGAAAAAGAAAGTAATTGTGATTTGCCTTAAATAAATTTGCACTTACTCTTTTTAAATTATCTCTAGACGCTGGATGGAAAAATTTTTTACACATATAATTATTAAAGCCTTTACCCATTTTGAAAGCTCTGTAATTTTAATTGAATTAAAAATTATTAACTCGTTTTAAATTATAATTAATAAATATTAATTATTTATTTGATGTTGAAATCGTGTGAAGAGTCGTATTAATGATAATATTTTTAAGTTGTAACAAAACAAATGTCATATTACAGTGGTACCACAGATAAGAAAAACGCCATCTATCCTGTCTCAGAAAATAAAATCAAAGATTATTATACACTTAACAAAGATTTACTCTGTAATTACACAATAATTGACAAAAATAATTGTAATATCAACAAATTTTTCTAAAAATTTAATTAATACTTTTTTGCTGCTAAATAATTTAAAAAAATGTTGGTAACAATTTTCGACATTCTCTTAACAAGAAACGATAATATGTTTTTTGATCTTTAAAATGAGCAAGCATGAACCAGAAAATATTTTATTAAGATACCAACACCTTTTTGGATCTATTTTGTAACATTTCCTAATTTGTTTCGAAAAAGAAATGAGCAGAAATAACACGAAAAAAAACGGTAGTGTAATTCCAATATCTCCTCAGCTATAAATTCCTCAACTCTACTTCCCTGTAAATCTGCTGTATATTAAATATTATACTATACTGTTTTATTATATTATAAATTTATTTTAATTTACATGATTTTTTAAGCAAGTTAGGTATTTATAAAAAGAATTATATTTTGAATTTGGTAAGTGGGTAGACTCGGGCTAAAGTACATCCTACTTAGTCCTTTCTTTAGCTATATGCCAAACATTACTAAAAAACGTTTACGTAATGTATACTCATGATAGTTAAAAACTTTACAGAAAAATGTTTTATAATTATCCCTAAATCAAGAAAAAAGTTGACATATTCCAGAAAACAGGTAATAGTCATTTTTTCTTAATTTTATTTTTAAATAATACCTTTATAATAATTATATAATACTGAAATTATGTTATAAGAATTAAATTTGGGCGTATTAAGTAAACAGTTTTTATAAAATAATTTAATAAATCAACATTTTTTTAGGATATACGTTGATTTTTAGTGTATACTCTTCAATATAATTATTATTGTCAAGATATACATTAATTACAAAATTTTTAGTAAGTAAAAACTATATAACTGTTTACAACCCTCAACAAAAACACTATTCCTCATGTGTATTTAAACTTTTGTATTGATTTGTACTCAAAGGCGTAATTTCAACAAAATTTTTGGGATGTTTTACCTTTTAAATTTTAACTTATTCCTACACTGTATGAAATTTCCTAGTAAAACACATTTTATTTATTAATTTTATTATGAGTTTTTACTTAAAAATAGCATTATTAATTTTTATAGATTTTATGTATACCTAAAACACACTTTTTTTTTTTGAGAAGATTTAACTTAGTTTTATTATGTGCTTAGCTCTCCTATTCATCATTATGTGTAAGAAATAAATAGAAAAATAAATGATGAAAATATTATTTATAATAAAATATAAGAATCTAATGTATATGAATATTCTAAAAAAATAATTAAATTAAGTCAATAGAAAAATGAGTCCACTTTTAAGTTTTAATAATGTCTCTTGATCTCTTAAAAATTCAAGATTTGAGTGACTGGAAAACTTTTGCTCTCATAAAACTTTCTTTTCAAGTAATTAATTTGTTGTAATATTCGAGTTTCTCAATATATGACTAAATAAACTTTTAACAACTTAAAAATATTATAATTATTGTGTTTAATTAAAAATATTTTTAGTCGTATAATTATGTTTTGTTTATTCGTGTCACTAAAATTTTATTTACATATTGATTTTTTTTTGGTCGTTATTAAGAAAATGGACAAGCTAAGATTCGTAGGAGGTATCGATTTGTTTTGACGAACTTGCGCGGGCTTGCAAATTCGCTCCTGGTCTGCACATTTCCTCATTTCCGCCAACTTCATTTGCTGTGATTAATCAGTTTCTACTTCAATCTCTATAAGCACGTTGATAAAATGTAGTGTTTTTAAAAAAAAATTTATGTCCTGTAATTATTTAAACGTAACAAGTATTTCTTCATTAAAGACCAATTCTATTTTGTTGGATAACGTAAATAATTTATTGCCACAAAACCTTTTATTAGTTATTTTGAAAAGTAAAATTTTTTTTTTTCATTAATTCTATTCATTGGTTTATGTATGAAACATTATTGTTGAACAAAAAAATAAATCAATACGTAAGTTCTACTTCTAAGTTTTATCATACTAAACTAAAAACATTAAAAAATTTGATATTTTATTAATTTACGATTTATTATTTTGAATCATAATAATCGATGATTATAAATGTACTATAAATTCATATACACAGCTGTACTTTAGGGGTGACTCAACAGAACAATAGCCTCCAAAAATTCTTATAGGTGAATTTTAACAATAAAAAACAAAACCTACAACATTGTCAAAATATGGTTAAACAAAACTTTGTTATTTTTAATGATGGTAGTTTACTATTATAAAAACTAACGCTATCAATAAAAAAATATATATAAATGAAAAGTTTGATAAAAGCTTAAGATGATAAAACAATTTTTTTTGATTTTCTTTGCTCATCAATATTATTTAAAATGTTCAAATTCATATAGTTAATTTGCAATAAAAGTTTAAATACGGCCTGTTCATGTACTATGAATAACTAAAAATTTGTTAATAATAAATTCAAGAAAAAGTTATAAGAAAAAAATTTATTTATAATCAATTTTTTAATCAATTGATTTATTAAAAAATTCTAAAAATATAATTTACTCTAAATAATATTTAAATTTTTTTTCATATATTTTGTAATTATGAAAAATATATACTTAAGTCAATAATATATTTGGAGAATTTATTGTGACAATAAATATATACATTATAATAATTTTTATACCAAATATTACGAAAACTTAACACAAATTAAAAAAAACCTGTTACAGTAAAGACTCGGCATAATCCAGACAATTATATATGATATTTGACAATGATTAATATCAGAAAATTAAAAAACGCTTCCTTGTGAATCTGTTAAATTTCACTATAATTTGTATATTATTGTTACAATTGATTATATGAATTCTGTTAAATAGTCGATTATACTCTTCTCTTTACTATTATTTAGGAATATGAAATACATAAAAACCATTTAAAAAATCTTTTTTCGTAGGAAATTCAATTTTTATTGTTTTGTAATTTTTATAATTTTTTATGTTTTGTAAAGTTTTTTTAATTTTCTAAAATTAGGTTTTTTATTCAATTTTCGTCATTGATAGATTTAACTAAATCAAATTCGGCGCATTGAAAGCAGAGATTTTTTAAGGACAGATATAAAAAAATTTAGACTATCAAAAAACTATTATCTTCTCAGCTTCTTATCAAAGCTAGAAACATTGATTGTTGAATAAATCTTTTAAATATAATAACATTGAAGAAATAACAACAATTACAACTATAACTGATATTATTTTTGTATACTTTAGATTTTTACAACGACACAGTATTTTTTTGATTTATTTATGTTGAATTTAAATATGATTAGACGTTTATAAGGGAATTTTTTTTTTTCATTAAAAACATCAATTTTTAAGGCTTTAAAAATTATTAGTAAATAGTTATTTTTTTTACCGAAGTTTAAAAAAATGTAGTTTATTTTTATTATACATATTTTAAATCATATCTGTTATATTTCCTTTATATTACAATCACCTTTTAGCTTCGATGCGAAACTGAGAAGGTATTGGTTTTACTATAATGTGTATTTTTTTTTTTATCTGTTAGAACTTTTTCTCAGCTCTCACCGAATGGATTTCTTTCAACGATACGTAAAAAAATCACAAATCGTATCTAGTCGAAGACATTACCCTCAAAAACTGAAAAAATTTCCCTCGTTTCCCGTAAATGGGGGAAACCTCCAATAAAATTACAAATTTAAAAATCGCTAATTTTCGAATTTTTTTCAATTTTTATTACTTAAAATTGCCATAACTTTCTTAAAAATGAACAAATCAATATAATTTTTTTTTTCATAGATACTGATGTCTTTACCTATTATTTAGTATATTTTTTTTTATAAATTTTACTCTTTATCTGCCCACAGAAGGGATTTAAAATGACAACTTTTTCACAAAAAATTAACTTTTTCAACTTAATTTTTGAAAGTGTTCCGGAAATACTGACACTTTTATATATATCTTAAATTAAAGCTTATGTAATATACTTTAATATTAAAAAAAAAAAATTTGGACTTTATTTTGTCTTCATGGTGAAAATGGCTATCAAATGCTATTTTTGTGTGAAAATTCTGGATTTTCTGGATTGAAACCCAACCCAACCTAACATTGAAGAAATAACAACAATTACAACTATAACTGATATTATTTTTGTATACTTTAGATTTTTACAACGACACAGTATTTTTTTGATTTATTTATGTTGAATTTAAATATGATTAGACGTTTATAAGGGAATTTTTTTTTTTCATTAAAAACATCAATTTTTAAGGCTTTAAAAATTATTAGTAAATAGTTATTTTTTTTACCGAAGTTTAAAAAAATGTAGTTTATTTTTATTATACATATTTTAAATCATATCTGTTATATTTCCTTTATATTACAATCACCTTTTAGCTTCGATGCGAAACTGAGAAGGTATTGGTTTTACTATAATGTGTATTTTTTTTTTTATCTGTTAGAACTTTTTCTCAGCTCTCACCGAATGGATTTCTTTCAACGATACGTAAAAAAATCACAAATCGTATCTAGTCGAAGACATTACCCTCAAAAACTGAAAAAATTTCCCTCGTTTCCCGTAAATGGGGGAAACCTCCAATAAAATTACAAATTTAAAAATCGCTAATTTTCGAATTTTTTTCAATTTTTATTACTTAAAATTGCCATAACTTTCTTAAAAATGAACAAATCAATATAATTTTTTTTTTCATAGATACTGATGTCTTTACCTATTATTTAGTATATTTTTTTTTATAAATTTTACTCTTTATCTGCCCACAGAAGGGATTTAAAATGACAACTTTTTCACAAAAAATTAACTTTTTCAACTTAATTTTTGAAAGTGTTCCGGAAATACTGACACTTTTATATATATCTTAAATTAAAGCTTATGTAATATACTTTAATATTAAAAAAAAAAAATTTGGACTTTATTTTGTCTTCATGGTGAAAATGGCTATCAAATGCTATTTTTGTGTGAAAATTCTGNTAACTTTTGAAAATGTTCCGGAAGGTCTGACACTTTTATATATATCTTAAATTAAAGCTTATGTAATATACTTTAATATTAAAAAAAAAAATTTGGACTTTATTTTGTCTTCATGGTGAAAATGGCTATCAAATGCTATTTTTGTGTGAAAATTCTGGATTTTCTGGATTGAAACCCAACCCAACCCAACATTGAAGAAATAACAACAATTACAACTATAACTGATATTATTTTTGTATACTTTAGATTTTTACAACGACACAGTATTTTTTTGATTTATTTATGTTGAATTTAAATATGATTAGACGTTTATAAGGGAATTTTTTTTTTTCATTAAAAACATCAATTTTTAAGGCTTTAAAAATTATTAGTAAATAGTTATTTTTTTTACCGAAGTTTAAAAAAATGTAGTTTATTTTTATTATACATATTTTAAATCATATCTGTTATATTTCCTTTATATTACAATCACCTTTTAGCTTCGATGCGAAACTGAGAAGGTATTGGTTTTACTATAATGTGTATTTTTTTTTTTATCTGTTAGAACTTTTTCTCAGCTCTCACCGAATGGATTTCTTTCAACGATACGTAAAAAAATCACAAATCGTATCTAGTCGAAGACATTACCCTCAAAAACTGAAAAAATTTCCCTCGTTTCCCGTAAATGGGGGAAACCTCCAATAAAATTACAAATTTAAAAATCGCTAATTTTCGAATTTTTTTCAATTTTTATTACTTAAAATTGCCATAACTTTCTTAAAAATGAACAAATCAATATAATTTTTTTTTTCATAGATACTGATGTCTTTACCTATTATTTAGTATATTTTTTTTTATAAATTTTACTCTTTATCTGCCCACAGAAGGGATTTAAAATGACAACTTTTTCACAAAAAATTAACTTTTTCAACTTAATTTTTGAAAGTGTTCCGGAAATACTGACACTTTTATATATATCTTAAATTAAAGCTTATGTAATATACTTTAATATTAAAAAAAAAAAATTTGGACTTTATTTTGTCTTCATGGTGAAAATGGCTATCAAATGCTATTTTTGTGTGAAAATTCTGGATTTTATTTTTAAANAAATCACAAATCGTATCTAGTCGAAGACATTACCCTCAAAAACTGAAAAAATTTCCCTCGTTTCCCGTAAATGGGGGAAACCTCCAATAAAATTACAAATTTAAAAATCGCTAATTTTCGAATTTTTTTCAATTTTTATTACTTAAAATTGCCATAACTTTCTTAAAAATGAACAAATCAATATAATTTTTTTTTTCATAGATACTGATGTCTTTACCTATTATTTAGTATATTTTTTCTTATAAATTTTACTCTTTATCTGCCCACAGAAGGGATTTAAAATGACAACTTTTTCACAAAAAATTAACTTTTTCAACTTAATTTTTGAAAGTGTTCCGGAAATACTGACACTTTTATATATATCTTAAATTAAAGCTTATGTAATATACTTTAATATTAAAAAAAAAAAATTTGGACTTTATTTTGTCTTCATGGTGAAAATGGCTATCAAATGCTATTTTTGTGTGAAAATTCTGGATTTTATTTTTAAAATNTGAAAATTCTCAATTTTATTTTTAAAATTTTTAACTTTATAATGCTATAACTTATTAAAAAGTGTATGGATCAACACAATTTTTTTATGAGAAATAATATTTTTTAATAATCCCTTTTTCATTCGACATACTTTATCTTAATCAGGATATTAATAAGGAACTAGCAGATCATGTAACTTTTGGAATAATCCACCAATTTTTTAAAATTAAACACTATCTAAAGTTTTGCATCAAAGCGTTTTTTTTTATAGTGATTTTAATCACTCTCAGATATCACAATATACTTGATCTAACTATGCCACGTCACCACTGTGCTGCGACCCCACTGTGCTGGGTTTTTTTTTTAACCTATATTAAGAAAATTTTCTAAGGATGTAGTTTGGGAACATTTTTTATTTTATTTTATATAAATAATAATATTTTTCATGACCGTTTTTTCTAAATATACTTTAAAAGTTCCTATTTTCAGTAAAAATAAGTCGTTGCATAAATTTTATGATAGGCTTGAGCCCTTCCCCTATAAATACATGTTATTTTTTAGGTAATGAAACGAAAAAAAATTGTCAGCACGCCAATGAAAATAGAAAAATTGATAAAAAAAATCTTTACCGTCCAAGTATTTTATTTTCTACTATGTTTAATAGCTAATTAACTAACAAATAAAATAATAACTATAATATTAAAAAATTATAAAATATAATATATTTTAGGATAAAAAACATGGAATATAAAGTATCCTCGACAGTTACTACCTCGACAGCTAAGGATGAAACATTATTTGAGTATAAAGGAGGTTTAGCAGATGACTTAAAATTTTTAGCAGCCATTCCCGAAGTATGTGACGTTACATTTTTAGTTGGAGAAACTCGAGAACCAGTATGTGCTGTTAAAGCAATACTCGCAGCAAGAAGCAAGTTAGTAAAACTTCTAAATGGTTATTTAATGAAGAGATTAGCTGTATTAGTGACGGCCCAAAAAATATTAGTAATTTTACTGTAAAATTAAGATCTAGTCTTTTTAGAATTATAACTAAATATTTACTTAATTAAATTTTTATAGAGTATTTTACAAGATGTTGTATGACACAAATCAATCGTCAACAATTAACAGTACTCCGAAACGCAGTGGAGGTTTAATAAAACAATTATCTGGAGTTGCTTCGGGTAGTCAAAACCCCCAACAACAAAATCGATTAAGAATGTTACTCAAACGAAGTTCAGAACCATTATTAATATTTCAGCAACATCAATCGAGGGTTTGTAATTATATTTATCTTTTTAAAGTTAGCTTAATTTCTAAAAAAAAAAAAAAAAAACATATAAATATCGTTATAAAACATTTAATGAAAAAATAATTCAAATTAATAAGAATATAATAATATTATAGGTAGGAATAAAATAGAAATTTTGGAGAAAGAGCTATTGATACATTTTAATATTTTTTCCCTATCCTAAAATATATTTTAATCTTAATACGTTAACATTCTAAATTTTAAGCCTCAAGCGCTCATTTAATTCCGCTAGAGAATGTTTTTACAATTATCTGAATTTGATTACAATACTAATAAATATAGTTTAAAAAAACTAAAAAACACGCTTTTAAAGCACATCGAACTAAAAAGTTAAAAATAATTATAAATAAAAAATACTAGTATTATTGTGATAAAAGCGTCGGGCGCTCAATATACGAAAACTATGGCATAAAGCACCCACGCTTTTATCACAATAATACTAGTATTTTTCATTCATTATTGTTTTAAGTTAATTTTAAAAATTATTTTTAACTTTTTAGTTCGATGTGCTTTAAAAGCGTGTTTTTTAGTTTTTTTAAACTATATTTATTTTTCACTTTTTAGTTTCATGTTGATTTCCCGTTACCCGTTACAACCATGATGTAACGGGTAACGGGAAATTAGGGTTCGATTCCGGGGAGGGAGTCTGAGAAACGGCTCCCACATCCAAGGAAAGCAACAGACGCGTAAATTACCCACTCCCTGAACATGGAGGTAGTGACGAAAAATGACGATACTGGATTCATCCTTTGTAATCGGAATGAATGAGTTGTATATTTTTAAATAAGAATAAAGTGTGTTAATATATGTAAATACATGTGTTAATACATGTAAAGCGACTTAAGTACGTAAACGTATTAGGTACAGTCGTGTTTTGTTGGCGGGCGGGTCGGACTAACGTTATACCTGAGGTATAAACGGCGGTAGTAATATACAGGGTGTTCAGTAAGTCAGGAAACGGGTATCTATTGTTCTCATTGTTACAAACAATGAGAACAATAACCCGTTTCCTGACTTACTGAACACTCTGTATACGTAATGCACGTAATAAGCCGTATGCACTCGGATGATAATGGTCAGTCAAAATAAAAATTTGTTTATATATATATAATATTGATGATACGCACGTGTGTACGGGTACGATAACCAAAAATAAATTTATACAGGAATAGTATTGCCGGCGTGCGTTGAGCGAGGCGTGGGGTGGGGTGAATGCGTTATGACAGTCTAGTCTCAAGGCCATAGACGACGGAATATGCGATAACGCGTGACGTTTAGAGAGTTACAAACATACATACATACAGGTGAAACTAATATAAGCGTGTTAACAATAGAAGATAACACAAAACTCCATATAACAGGTATCAGGTAGAGATTTGGGAAAACCAAAGAGACTATGATCTAACAATAGGTGTAAAAATACACTAATCCAAAAAAAAAAAATCAGATCTACTACAAAAGAAAATATAATGAAAGTTTTAAAGAAACATGCAGCATCTTTAAATACGATAAAAGATCTTTACAAAAATTACAGTAAAGAATCACAGTTGTGATTATTTTGAGTCATAAATAATTGATGTGGTCGTGTTCCCTAAGGAACACGTCATACGTCAAATATACCAAAAAATTATACAATAAAGGGAGGTAATAAAAATTATGAAAAATTTAAAAAAATGACGATATAACACTAATTATTGCTCAATCAGATATGTAATTACAATCGAGTTCTTCGAAATAAATGTTTCATTTATTCAATTTCTATTAGATAATTATCTAATAAATTACAGATAGTAAATTCAAATTTGTATACATAATAATTTTGTTGATTTATTTTTGGTTCTATGTCTAGATTTAAAATAATTTTTTGTTACAGCAGTTTCAAAATTCTTCTCCTAACCGGAATAGTATAAAAAATATCAAAATAGCTTCTGCTGGGACTAACACATCTTCTTGGTCAAAATATAAAAGAGGAAGCACTGCAGGAAACATTTCACCCACCAAGAGTAACCTAACATCATCTACTGTTATCGTAGTTGACGAATTCGATGCTGATGTATTCAGACAGTTAGTTGAATATGTGCACACAGGATGTGTTACTTTGCAACCACGAACACTTTTAGGTATGCTTATGATAATAACCTAATAATCGCATTATAAATGATAAAACTTCATAAAAATCAATAATATTACAGTAAATTTGAAAAAAAATTTTTAATATTAATTTTTTACATTTCATTCATCCATTTAAAATTCTATAATAAAAATAAATATAAATTCTTATTATTCGTGACAGGAGCTATTTTTTAGTTTTAACAAGAAAAGTGGTTTAAAAGTAACTTCTCAGCCCACACTAATATTTTGTCAAAACATATTACATCATAATAAATTTTAATATAATACATTATATAAAATAATATAATTTAAAAGTTTTAACTTAGGTTAAAATGAACTAAAATAAACATTAAAAATAAGAAACTATTTCTAATTTTGAAAATAGTTTAGCTTCGAATAACAAATATATTTTAGCTTCGATGCGAAGCTGAGAAGGTATTAATTTTACCATGATGTGTTTTTTTTTTTTTTTGTGTCTGTCACTACTTTTTCTCAGCTCTCACTGGACCGATTTCTTTTAACAATACGTCAAAAGATCACAAATTGTATCTAGTTGAAGACATTACCCTTAAAAATTTAAAAATTTTCCCTCGTTCCCCGCAAATGGGGGAAATATCCAAAAAAATTACAAATTTAAAAATCGGTAAATTTTGTCATTTTTTTCACTTTTTTTTCTTAAAACTTCCATATCTTTTTCAAAAATAAACAAATCAACATAATATTTTTTTATATTGAAATCTTAGGTAATTTCCTTTTGTTTGATATCATTTTTTTTGAAAATCTAACACTTAACCTGCTCATTGAGGGGTATTTAAAATAGCAACTTTTTTACAAAAACTAACTTTTTCAACTTAATTTTTGAAAATGTTCTGGAAATACTGCGTCCTTTAAACATATATCAAATTAAAACTTATTTTATGTACTATAAAATGAAAAAAAAAATTTGTCCCGACGACCTATCTTTTATGCGCAAATGGCTACTGTATTCATAAATATGCTATTTTTGTGTTAAAATCCTGGGNCCGTATTCAAAAATATGCTATTTTTGTGTTAAAATCCTGGGTTTTGTATTTTATTTTATTTTAAAATATCTTATAAGGGCAATACACTGCCCTATTTTTTTATAATTATTATTTTTATAATATGCTAAATTGAATAACTTTTTTTTTATTGGTTTTTTTAGATATATAATCATTAAAATTAATTAAATTCTGAATATTTCCATTGTAGAATCTTTTTAAACGCCAAAAGTTAATTAGAAATGATTACTATGATTTTTATTTAAGTGATCTATTTCGATAAAAATGTAAAAAAATCTAACTTTTCTGATAAATATACTGTAAATAGTAATTATAAAATTTGCTGACAGCATATTAATCTTAACAATTTCATTTTTATCTATTTAATAATGTCAATTTCAAACTTGCAAATTGAGCTACTTGTTATGGTAGTAAATTCATTTTTTGTTTAATAAAACTTTCACTTTAAACGACAATAAAAAGTAGGTTCAAAATTATTACTTTTAACGTATTAAAAATCAATAATAATTTGAAAACAATTAATTTTAAAAATTATATAATATATAATTAAAAGAATTACTAATCTGGGTATAATTAAGGAAATAGAAGTTGATGTTGCTTTTGTAATTATCCATCAATTTTTTAAAATTAAACACTTTACAGATTTGCATCGAAGCGTTTCTTAAGATAGTGATTTTAATCACTGTCAGATTAAATCTATACTGGACCCAACTATGCAACGTCTCCACTATGCCGCGACCCCACTGTGCTTGGTTTTTTTTTGTACTTATATCATGTGAAAATTTTATTGGTCCATAGTATTAGATAAAAATTCAAATTTTCGATCAAAGTAATAGAAAATTTTTCAGGTGTACTAAATGCAGCAGATTTTTATGGATTAGATGAACTTCGAGCAGCTTGTACAGGATTTGCTGATTCAGGAGGTATTACAGTGGATACAGCATGCGCTTTGTTGGCATCCGCTGAACGTTACATTCATTATAAATGCACAAAGTCATTGGTGCAAAAAGTACGAGCAGTATCTATCTCATATTATCTAATACTTTGCCTTTTTGCGTGTCACCTGTAAAAGTTGTCATAGATTAGTAGTCGATTTTTTCAATAATAAAAGCTCGTAAAATGTATATTTGTGTGAATAATTTTTCCTTTTTTTTTCTTCTTTTTTGAGTGTTAGATAAATATAGTTTGGGTAATGTGTATGCTTTGTGTGATCAATAAATACAAATAAAAAAATTTAGTTATAACTGCTGTGATAAAAAAAAAAAATCAAATATCCACGATTATACGTTTTGTATTTTGAAATCTGTATCAATACATATAAAAATAAATAACTTAATTAAAGTAACTGAATACAATAAAATAATTGTACATTCTTAAGGTAATTTTTCGAGAGCAGGAATATTTCCACTAAGTAATTTTATACCAAATCAGTAAATATATTACCTCTTTATAAGTGAAGAAAAAAAAGATTTTCTATGCATAATTTTTTGATGTCTTGTAATTTTTTAGTTCAATTTTCAACAATTTACTTAAATTTTAATGTGTTGACTAAAAAAAGTGTCTAATAAATAAAAATTACGACTCCAATAAATAAGTCGACAAATACCCCCAGAAAAATTTCTAGAACCACCTCTTCTTACTAAAATAGTGTTAACTCTCAAGTAGAATTTATTTAATCTACCATCGTAAATGTATACAAAAATGTTATTTTTTTAGATATTTGTACGCTAATATTTAACGTTGAGATCTATATTAAGTTTAATAATTGAGCTTGCTAAGTGACTGTATTGTTAATATTTTCGGCTAATGCCTTATGAAACATATATTCTGTATATTTTTGTGTATATGTAAATAATTTATAAGTATAACGTGTAGTATATTTTACTATGTACATGCTAAATTGTGTAATAGTTGAAATAAAAATAGTTAATGTATTTTCATGTCTTACTATTATTTGATAAAAAATTATAAATTTTTATTACGCTGATTGTTTATTTTGACGTAAGTTGTATTATTTCCGTAGGTAGTTTATATTATAATCTTATGTTTATAATATGTGTTAAGTGGCATAAATTTCTAATTATATGATATTAAGTATCTTAGACGTTGAGTTTGAAGTAACAGTAGTTTAATAAGAAATATAATAGATAGGAAAATACATGTGTACAATCTAGTGTATATGAACACTTATAAAATTACTCATTGGATATTAATTGTAAGTATGGAGTAGTTCAGTGCTTAAATTAGAAATAAATATTTATAATAATATAAAAAATACATGTATAATAATATATCTCCATTATAGAATTGTTTATGCTCAATAAATTACTAAACTATTAAAGTTAAATACTATGTACAATTAAAGAATAATGTTAAAATTTATTTCAATGATATGATAATATTCAAAATAGAAACATAGGGGAACACTAAAAACACTCTTAAAAATATAAAGGAGAAAACAATAAAATTAAGCCAAGTTATGTAATTTTTGGTAGTCGCAGATTTAACATCTTTTTTTTTCACGGGTAATAAAAAGGTAGTAAAAATGAGATTTAATAACCGGTGCATGTTTCATAGCTAAATCTTCAACTAATTCTGACTGCCCAATATTTTTTAGATTCGATATGAAGGTGAAAAAATATTTACTCATGACATACCCCTAAGGAACCTCCATCATAATGATTTTTTTCCATATATCTCCATATTCCCATAGCAAAGATATTGTTTTTACTTAGATAGAGATACTTAACCTCGTCTAATTTTTACTCGGTAAATAATCATATTATTTTTAATAAATGAAATATTTATATAAACATTTTATGAAAAATAAAATGACTTTACCGTTTTCCTATACTCGACGTCTAAGAATACTTTGTAAATATTCTACAAATAACCACGTTTTGTGCCAGTCATTTTGTAATCAGCATCAATATGATTTTATTTAAAACGTAATTATAAAATATTTTTTAAATCAAACTTGTTTAAAATATATAACTATGTTATTGATTTTAAATTATACCATTTAAATAAAAAATAAAGGTACTTGAATTCGTCGATGAACATGGCGGACGTGTTCTAAGCCTCGGGTCTTTTACATTGCTACCACAACACGTAGTTCGTTTAATTCTATCACGGGACGAGTTGCGTGCCGATGAATTGACCAAATTTCAGGCAAGTATATTTTAATTATTATTGAACTCTAAAAATAAAAACCGAACTTAAACAAGGGGAAAAGATGCTTGTAATTTTAAACAAAAAAATGTTTTAAAAAATAGTTTCAATTATATCCGTGATTATATTTTAAAAATGTATATATAAATTTTAGCAATATTTCGAGTATCACCACTAGTGAAAAATACAAATGTTTTTGAAGTACAAAAACAAACTTTCCCGATTAGTCATTCAACTAGTCTCTTTCAAACACGTGACAAAAAATAACTTTCGCTATTCTAATAATTTACACCAAAACTCGATTTTTGTGACTTGTTTATTAAAAAAAAAATATATATACAATTAGCTATATAAATCTCAAAACAAAATGATTATTGAACATTTTAAAAATATCCAACCTTAACATGTTAGGTTCAATATTTAGGTATTACTGGTCAATATTGTTGATCAGATAATGAAAATGTTCAAAAAAGAAGAGCAGTCGAAAATGTGGGAAGGGACTTTTTTACTTTTTAATTAAGGTAGACAAATAGTCGGTGTGAGCTTGCCTAAAAATATTAAAACGGATGATATGATTTGTAAAAATATTTAAAATTATTTAAAAATATATGTATAGCCTCTAGAAATAAACCGTCTTTTAGAGATGACCCAACCAACTAGAAATGAGTAAATATTATTTACTATGCTATAATAAATATACACATTCTTCTTTACGCATAGGCTGCTTTAATGTGGTCAAAAAAGTATGCTGCTGATGCTGCTGATAACAATAACTCAAATGCAGAAGAAGATGACTGGAGAGCTATTTTTCGTGAGCATTTTTCATCCATAATTCAGTATCATAAGATCGCTGCCCGTGTTATTTTGGATGAAATCATGCCATTAGGTGTAGTTCCAGATCGTGATCTCTTATCGGCACTGGCTTACCAGGTACCTTTAAACTGTATAAAGTACCAACCAAATCTATATATATATATCATATTAAATTATTTTTATTGATCGTTAGCTTATTCATAATAATTCAATTAACAATAAATAGGCCGATCCCAATAGTGTGCAACTTAATTCTACAACTACTGCTGATCAGCTACGATGTGGTAGACGTCGCACTCGTTCCATGTCAGTACAGAGTGGTGGTGCTTGTGCTGGTGATGACGACGATGTCGAACCTCCATCAGGCTGTAATCGCGTTAATGTCGCTGCTGGTCCATCGACATCCGGAGCTCCAGCAACTTCAACTCCAAGCAGTGGTGGAAGTGGAGGCAGTGCTAATCTGATAGCTCAACATCAGCGACCTCCACCTTCACGACGTCGTCGGAGAACTTTTCATATGCATCACCAGCATCGCTCTCGTCAAAGACATCATTGTCATCGATCATCTGACTCGACAATTGCTTGTAGTTGTAGTACCAGCGACGAAGACTCGGCAGACGACTTAACTTCATCGTAATATCAGTTATCACCGAGTGTCAGATGTGTCAATTTTTAAAATGAGTGTGAAAATATATTATTGTAAATGGGTTACAGATGCACGAATTAAAGATTTGGGTTTATATTAAATTATTAATTATAATTTATTAACGATAATCATTTTAATTATTAACAACTATGTTTGACAATGAAAATTCATTACTTACTTAAAAGAGCAATGACCGTCGAATAGGAGGGAATTAGGGGGATAGATCCTCCCTCATTAACATACCCTTTTTGACATTTTTCATTAAAATTTTGGAAACTTTATATATGTTATTGACCGTAATTAATATAAAAAATTATTAATTATACAAATTTAAGAGTTTAAATTTCAAGTTTTGGTATTATTTATCTGCGGGTAAATTCAACGGGACATTATTCTAAATAAATTAAATATTTTAAATAGGCTTAATAAGAAAAAAGACATTTATAGTAATCCAGAGTAATATCTTGATATAGTAATACAAATAAAAAATCTTAGGGGAATGGAGTTACAGTGCCAATGATGATTTTTATCAAATAGGGTTTTCATTCCCTCTCATGCACAAAATACCACCTCTGCATAAATGTTTTTTATAATATGTATTCTTTTTGCTGATATATGTATTCGAGGACGTCCGAGCAGTACTTACGATTTTAACTACTTATTTTCGCTTATTACTTTTTAGTTGTGATAATGACTTCACATTTATTAATATAAACAAGCCCTAGTAAAAAAAAATGATAGGCTGTTAAATTAACTAATAATTAGTCTATATTACTTTATAAGAAATCTATAAATTATTTATAGATTTCTTTTTGTTATACTGAGAATCGTCTTTATTGATTTATGGAAGGACTATTGTCCTTAATCCATACAAATACGGCTTCAGTGGGCGTAAAGTTCCAATAAGTTCATCTAAAATGACATAAACACTATAAAGAGGTTTTTATTTACACACTTTAAAATTTTCAAACTTCCATTTACTTTGTGAAATGTGAGAAGTTATAATACATTTATACACAAAAATGCATAATTAATGTTACATGTATAATTATTTTGTAATAAAAAACATTTGATTACTTTATTCACGTGTGTATATACGTATATTTGGATTATCTCAACAATGGGACAATAAATTCTATAAAAGTACATGGATTGGATTTTAAGGCGTACTAAAGGGTTTTACTTATATTCGAGGGGTCTATAAGTCAAAATTATTAAAAAAAAATTTAGAAAATCTCAACATTTAAACCAGGAATCTCTTAACAACTTTTATGAACTTACTAAAAATATACCTACAGCCATATTATATTTGAGATTTAACACCACCCTCAACAGTAAACAATATTGACAAAATTAAGTGTATATTGTAAATTTATTAAACATTACGTTGAAAATGATGATAAAAATTTATAATTAATAATTATACTTTGTTAAAATAAATGAATAAGTAACACTCTTATATATTTATCAAAAAAATATTTTCTCTTACAAGGTGAATATTTTTTATTTATAAATAGAATATTTGACTAGTATAGCTATGGGAATGTTTGTGTCTGGTTTTTTTTTAAGAAATTCTATCATATTTAAAAAAAATGTTTACATTTATCTATCATTATACTGTATAATGGTAGTTAAGAGTGCAATTTACACATTTAGTTAAAATTTACTTCTAAGTATATAAGAGTAATTAAAAAAAAAAAAAATCATTAACTTTTATACTATAAATAAATTATTTAATTAAATAGTAAAAAAGACTAGATTACATATAATAATAATGTTGTCTACATTATAGTATATGAGTTACATATAAGTTTATTATTATGTTATAAATAAAAGAGACATTAATAAGTGTAAGACATTTTTTTTAAGTAACAAATATTTTATATACTAATATACTGATAATATATTAAGTAATTATAAATAAAAAAAAGGCATAAATATTAATTACAACATAAAGTATAGCAAGATACTAAAATAATACTTTAATCATCATCTTCATAATACCAGTCTTTGGTGCATTTTATTTTAGTTATGCTATTTTGCACTCTTCCTAAAGAAACATTTATTCTCCTAAGTGTGTCCTCATTATTGATAAAGTTAATATTGTTGATAACGCTTTTTAACTTTAACATAATATTAGTTTTTAAATCATTAATTTCTGATTCTTCTTTCTGAATCTCTTCATTAAATTCATTTTCTGTTCGCTTATTAAATATTCCTAACATATGAACATGTTCGCATATATTTACTTTACCATTGCTGCATGAACATTCAAACATATGGGCACAAATATCATAACATCCTTCACACTTAACAGTACAGTCTGTTATTTTGCAACATTTTCGAATAACAGTAACAAAGTTAGTATCAGTTCCATCTTCTAATTTAATTTTCCAGGCATTTCTAGATACTGGAAATATATGAGTTGAATTATAACAAAATGCATTTTTATGATTATTTATTATCATTATATTAGTTTCTTCAATTCTGGCTTTTCTTATTTTTTGTATATCTAAAAGTGCTGTAAAAAATACATGCATATTTTTAGATAAATTTGAAGTGAAATGTTTTTTATTCTCACAAAGTACTAATATTCTATTATAGATTGTATCAATATCAATCATTTGATTTAAGTTAAGCGATTCCTTTAAGTAACAAAAGGCCCACATATAAGCTCTTTTTGTAAACATTTGATCAAAGTATATTCCAAATTGCTTTGTAGCATCCTTACTATTTAAAAAATTTTCATTATAGTTTATAATTTCTTCTTTAATACTTTTCCCAGGTTCAATAAAAAAAGAACATATTTTGTCATAGATTTCATGTTGTAAATTTTGATCATCAACTTCACTCTGAAGTTTATCAATAATTTGATTATCAATATACCTTTGATTAATCACATGTATAACAGGTGACATAATGGAACACCAACTTTCATATAAATCATAATTATCATCAGTGATTAAAGCTTTAGCATAAACAGTTCCAACTTTACTTAAAATTGTGTTTAAAAAAAAAGTTTGATAAATTTTACTATCATTACATATCATAAAGCATACAGGTAACATTCCATTGAATTCATCACAAACATATAATACAGTCAAATAAAGCCCAGCTTGTATCATCTTCATCTCAGTCACCATAAATATCCCATCACTTCCAAATTTATTGATCCAATAGTGTTGATTTCGAGTCATAAATATTAGTATTAAATCACTTTGTTCAAAGCCAATGTATTCTACATTATTTGGTTTATAAAATATAATTGGATTATCTGGAGTCCGTAATAACTTTAAAATCCACCTATCAGTATTGAGATCATTGATTGTACGTTGTTTAATATATTCTGGATGTTTAATACCTAATTTTCGTTCAATGTTTTTAATATCTTTTCTATTTAACAAATGTATACGATTTAATGAATCAGAAGCTTTGGCTCGTGCAGCATTTATAACAAAATCAGGATGATCTCCTCTTTGAATAAGTTCAGTAATTTCTTCTCGTTCACGCTTAGACATACGCATGTGTTCTGATGAAATATTATGACCATAATGTGTTGCACATAACAATAAATTTATGGACCCATTGCTATTTTGAGTTTCTTTCATTGATGCTGTACAAAGACCTTTAACTTTTAAAGGAGTATTTCGTTTTCTAACACCTTTAGATTTACTAGTAAAATATGTAGATCGATTACAATAATAATATGATAATTTTTTTCCATCTGGCAACTTTTTACAACCAGTAACTCGAACATAACGACATTTATTTTCATGTTCAAAGTCTTCTTTCCATGTTAAAAAATCTATAAAGATAGTAATTAATATTAAGAGAATTGATATTAAAATAATATATTACCATTTATTGAAGTGAAATTTAAATATTGTATATTAAACTCAATATTATGGTCAAATTTTAAATGACTTATGAACAGTTGTTTATTGTAAAATTTACAAGTACATCCATGTTCTAAACAATGTAATACACTACATTTTCTAGGTCTTTTTGTCTTAAAGTTGGATACTTTAATGTTTCCATTATGCATGGAATCCAAATGATTCTTAAGGCTTATTTTATTTCGAAATAAAAATCCACAGAAAGCACATTCAACTGAATGATACCTAAAATAAAAAAAACAACCAAATTATTTTTAATATATTTTTGATAAATGTGCACAACTAAATTAAATTACTAAAAAATAAAAGAATTACTCAATATATATTTAAGTTATAATGTACATAAAAAAAATTAATCATGACTAAGTAACTTTTAACATTTTACCTTCGAATATTTTCAAAATCTATGTTGGACATTGTGAATTCAGTGAAATTAAGACCTATCGTCTCAATTTATTTAATTAATTCAACAATAGAAAAAGAAACTATTTTAACAATTAGTCGTAATATTACATGACAAATACATTAAAATATTAAGTAATGGAAATAACATGACAAAATTATTCAAACTGATTTTAAATTAATCAAATATAGTACTATCAATTTTCAACACAGTATTGTGGTTGATTAAGATAAGAAACAGCGAAAGAATAGTAACATTTGGTAATCATAAAGGTTACTGTACTAATCATACTAGAACTTTCATTCTTCAACAGCGAAGGATGGAATTTATCATCATAAAATGATTTGATTATATTTAAAAAAAAAAACAAATTCTTGCTTTCCTTGGAATCAATATGATCATATTATGTACAAAGAACCCTTTCTAAAATATGTTATATAAAAAACAGAAAACTTAAACAGAGGCGTCATTTGGAACGTGGCAACTTGGGTATTTGTCCCAGTTTTATTTTTATGAAAATTGGAACCGGTCAACTTTGCACTTTTATTGGGCAGATCATACTCTGAGTAAATGTAGGGATTTATTTTTAATTAAACTAGAATAGTTTTCAAAAATAATTTTACAAGAACACAATAATATTGTGGACGCGTCTATTTTTTTTAATATTTAAATAATTAAAATAATTAATTTATATTAATATTTAATATAAATTATTTATATTAATAAATAATTAAATCAATTTAAACTATATGTTTGAATATCTTAAAGTTTAAAGTAAAAATGTCTTTTATGATGATTGATCGATTACCTATTTCAAAATTGTCAACGTATATTTCGGCTACAGTCATATCCCTTTCTTTTTTAAAAGCCTATTTATAATCATTTTATAAATATAGTGAAAAGTCCGATTTTAACAGCCTCTCCCTTAGTCATCATAATTAAATACAACATAGATGCTTACTTTGCCGTTAAATAAATCATGTGACCTCTATTTAATTATTATTTTTTTGTTGCATCCTCATATATTAAAAAATTTCCGATTAAAACGAATAATTCTGCTGAGTAGGAAGAATACGATACCTTCCACGCCACTATCGGGATTAAGTTGTCTATTAATTAAATACATAAAGTACTAGCTGCAATAAAATTAGCCCTTCAAAAATTAAAAAAAAATTTTTTAGTAGTTTTCATAAAATTCAAATTAAGTTAAATTGTTGGAAAAATTAAAAATATATGAAAAACATTTCATTTTTGTCAGTTTAAAATCTATACATAACATGGATTTCAATTTTAAATTTTATAGTAAAAGTACGTGACAACTCTTGCACTTAAATTCATATCGTTATATTTTTTACATATAAACGTTTTTTAATTCACAAATTTATCACCAACAGTCGGCAAAATTGACTTCACATCCCCTTTAATATTATTTAAAGATTGCCTATGATTGCCGGCTATGATTCAAACTTGTTTCAACTTTCTTATGTTAGAATATTAAATTATTGTAAAAGCAATAGATAAATTAAACTCATAGAGCGAGCTAGTAGTTAAAAATTTAATTAAATGACGTCAAAACACCATATATTTCTTATTCCTATCATGATTCACGTTTTGTTTTGCAAATTTTATCAGTCAACAATAAGCAATCTGTTTTTGTGGGCAGTCGTATGTTAATCTTCTGTGTGTCGTAGTCGGTGTTGTTTTTCTGAATTTGTGTTGGAATTAATTGTAAAGATATTTTTATTTTATTCTTTGTTTAATAATACTTGTTTTGTGTTGTCTCATATCAACTTATAAATATTTAAATTAAACTAGAATAGTTTTCAAAAATAATTTTACATGAATACAATAATATTGTGGACGCGTCTGTTTAAATTAATTTAAACTATATGTCTGAATGTCTTAAAGTTTAAAGTGAAAATGTCTTTTATGATGATTGATCGATTACCTGTTCCAAAATTGTCAACGTATGTTTCGGCTACAGTCGTATCCCTATCAGCAGCTACATATTATTCAGTTAAATATAGCTCTAATGCGACACATGATACTGATATCTCATTAAAATCAGTTGAAAACACCTCATCTACTGATCCAATAGATAAATATTATGAACAAATGCTAAATGTCTTAGCATTTATGTTACAAGACCCTTTGTGCTTTTTAGTAAGTACTTTAATATGTTTGATATATATAATTGTGATAAAACTAATAAAATAGTTTAATTAAACAATTCAATTTTTCCAATAATTTTCTGTAAGATTACATTTTAATAAGTAAATTTAATTAAATTAACTTTTTAAATCTGTGATGTGTTTATGTGTAACATAAGGGACAACTGCCTCTTTAATTTTATCTTCTAAATGACCCTTTTAACTTATGATAGAGTTGTAATTTATTTATGAAAAATAGAACTTTTTTTTTATTTGAAATAATGTAATTTTCAACTTAATAAAAAAAATTAATTTATATACTACATTAGTCATACATTTTTATATTATATCTCTATGTTGATTGTGGTTATTTATTACTAAAATTATTTTTTAATAATTGTCGAAATAGCAGTTCTAACTTTTATTATATATTTATATATAAACTTATAAAATCTAATTTAAGAATTCGTATTTAAATATAATAAAAAGGTTATCCCAAAATCTATAATACTACCCATATAATTGCCATTATGTAGTATAATATAATGGATCACGAGTTTAATTACTTGTGTTCATTTTAAATTTTAATGCAATTTTAGTCTTAGGTATTTAGTTACAATTAATTAAATATAAAATTTCTGATCATTAAGTTAAAATATAATCATTGTGTAACATATTATGCTTCTTCAAAAAAAATTTTTTTTAAAAGTTTGAATTATTATATTTTGAATATCAATATATCGTATTTGGGATGTTGTACATTTAAAATAAGAAGTTCGAACTCCCTTTGTTGTCTCTTAAATAATTTATTCCTTACTTATGATATAGAGAAGGAAAAATATTATGTTTATGTGTCATTATCTTAGAATGGTGTTAAAAGTGGGTTTGAAAGTTACAGTATTTTTTTTTTTAGAAATTCTCTGAAATTATGGGTGAAAACAAAGTTTAAAATTAAATAACTTAAAAATTAAAATTGACTTCATTGTTCATTTATTAAAATAACTTATACCTTTTAGTAGTAAATTATTTGGTGCTTCAATCAAATAAAAATGTTCTTTAACATCTATTTTTGTTCAAACTGCGAATTTTTGAAAAATTGAAATATTGCATAATAATTTGAAATATTAACATTTAAGATTTTATATAAATCATTATAGCTGAGGTTGATAGTAAACAGAATCTTCTTGTGTTTCTTATCTGTTTCTGATATTGGAATTAAATTAATTAATAAGTTGATTTGACACCAATCAACTACAGTTTAACTAGTGTTTTACTATGTAAAGAGTTAACTGCAGTGGTTTCCAGTTGCCTCCTGCACTAAAAGTGAAAGCATAAGATCTTAATTTAGTGATCAAAAGTTTAATAAATAATTCACTAAAAATATTTAATTTATTTAGATTTAATAAATTTTAAACAATGTTTCTGAAAAACTACATGCCTTAAAATAATGCTTAACTTAAACTTGTAAAAATGTTTATAAGTAATATCCACCATCTTATGAGCAGATAAAGAGTATATTTTGTGAATTTAAATCAAACAATGCCAAAGACAAAATTGAAGTCCAACAATTTATTATTTGCCTAAAAATATGTTTGATAGACAATTTTTTTTGTATGATGCTATTTAGGACTCATCAAACACAGTGATATAACTAGGGTGTTGTTCTGAGGGGAATATAAAGGGTTTTTCAATAGGGACGCTACAAAAGTAAACCGATAGGGACAGCAAACGACGCTATATTTTTTCCCGCTCTCTTGACATTTCTCTTCAGTAAGGTTTGCCATTTCATCATGGAAAGATATACGATCCAACAACGAGTCGAAATTATTAAAATTTACTACCGAAATTCGGAGTCAGTGGCCTCAACTTTAAGAGCCCTACGTGCAATTTATGANGGGCCTGCGGCGTCGCCGTACTTCTTCCGTGATGATCAAGACCGGCACGTTACTGTGAATGGGAATCGCTACCGCTCAATGATAACCGAATATTTTTGGCCCGAATTGGATGATATGGACTTGGACAATATGTGGTTTCAACAGGACGGCGCCACAAGCCACACAGCGAATGTCACAATCGATTTATTGAAAACCAAGTTTGGTGAACGTGTTATCTCACGAAATGGCCCAGTCAATTGGCCGCCTCGGTCGTGCGATTTGACGCCGTTAGACTATTTCCTGTGGGGCTACGTCAAGTCTATGGTCTATGCCAACAAGCCAGCGACGATTGATAAACTTCGTACGAATATCGAACGTGAGATTGCAGCAGTATCGGCCGATTTATGCTTGAAAACCGTCGAAAATTGGGTTCAGCGTCTGGACTTCTGCAAGCGTGCCCGTGGTGGCCATGCAAAAGAAATCGAGTTCCATACATAATGGCATCGAATGTACTTTCAATTGAATAAAGAATTTCATTGATATCCAAAACCGTTTTTGATTTATTTAAAAAAACTTTTGTAGCGTCCCTATTGAAAAACCCTTTATAAGAAAAATGTTCACTACTCTCCAAAATAAATGTCTCTACATCATATAAATATTTTTATTCTTAGAGAATATACTCATAGGCACAATTTAGAATGGATTAAAGGTATTGGAACCACCCCCTTTTTATAATTAGAATTCCCAAAATTTAAAAAATATTTTTATCTTGTTATATGAAAATATTTTTAGGGTGGGAAAAAATTTAGTACTTCCAATAATTTTGTTGTAAGTACGCTCAGATCTATCCTTTTCATCTTCCTTTATTTACGCTTCTAATCAAATGAGTCCTCTAAAAACGTGTTTTTTTTTAATATGTATAACATATATTTAAAATGAGTAACCCACTGTGCGGATCGCTAAAAAAGAAACAAAATAGTAATCAATACATATTACATACCGATTTTTAAGATATACACAAGAAGATTTCATAATTAAAATAATTTTCGATTTGTCTTAAAATATTTATTTGTTCATCTAATGATCGCCAATTATTCGTAGGGTAGCTTAAAACCGGATTCCGGAAGTATTACTAATGTCATTAGGTTAACCTTAAATAATAATGTGTATTAAAAATAAATTTATATCAAAAATTAAATGTGTGCAATGCACACTGTGCATTTAACAAATAAGGTTATACGCAAGATAATTTTTAATTTCACATATTTTTTATCTTAAAAAATTTACATTCGAAAATGCTGATGACTTGGACTAAAGTACTTTTTGTGTATATTACGATTAAAAATCTAGGTGACCTCATATAAGTTCCGTATCTTATTTGTATAATAAAGTAGTTGGCGCAGAAGGACAGGGAACCAACTCATGTAACCTCCAGCTCAATAGCAAATCAAAAACCTGTTAGGTACAATTATTGACTCTATATGTTACTTAATTTAAATTATATTACTATTATTAGTAAAAAAAAAATTTTTTAATACTTGGATTCTGCTAACATTTACATTTAAAAAATTATGCATTTTTAATAATTAAAATTTTTTGAGAATTTGTGACAAATATTCTGTATTTTAAGTTTATAAAGTGAAAGAAATGTTTTAAAATACAATCGTTAATTTTTAAAAGTAATCCAAGCCAACGTTCACTCACACGAATAGGTTTTCAGTAAATAAGAAAAATGGTTTCTATTGTTCTATATTTTGTAACAATTAACCGGTTTCCTAACTTTTTGAACACTTTGTATATTTACTTTAGGTGGCTTACCAAATTCAGTCGAAAACAACTTTTATTCTCACTACATAACATTGTTATGTTATTTTGTTAAGTTAATTTAGTCATTACATGTCTCTACTTTTATATAATTCTTTTGATTCAAGTTCATATCTTAAGCGTGTTTTTCTCGCTTTGAGTATAATTCGTACACAAATAACTGTCTACATAAATCCTGGTTATAAAACATCGATCATGTGGATGCGTTTCCTGGACTTAGAATTAATTTTAATATTTAAAAGTGTTTGAAGGAGTCTTACACTCTTTAATTTTCTAATAGTTACTCCTGTAGGTAATTGTATGAGACGTCAATGAAAGGATAAATCGGGTTTGACTTCTAGAAAATGTTTAATTAATAAAAGGCATGTCTGGTGAAATACCAAGCTAATAAAATTGATAAAATAGTTGATTTGAATAGGTTTACTTTAATTTATTAATTTGTTAATTAAATATTTATTGTGAATATAATGTTAATTCAAAATTTATCTGTCATTCATTTTAGTTTCGATGCGAAGCTGAGAAGGTATTAATTTTACTATGTGTTTTTTTTTGGCTGTTACCACTTTTTCTCAGCTCTCATCGAACCGATTTCTTTCAACGATACGCCAAAAGATCAAAAATCGTATCTAGTCGAAGGCATTACCCTCAAAAATTTAAAAAATTTCCCTCGTTTCCCGTAAATGAGGGAAATCTCCAAAAAAATTACAAATTTAAAAATCACTAATTTTTTAAATTTTAAATTGCTATAACTTTATCAAAAATGACCAAATCAATGTAATTTTTTTTATAGACGCTTGATGTCTTTACCTATCATTTTTTTTTTTATAAATTTGACTCTTTACCTGCCCACAGAAGGGATTTAAAATGACAACTTTTTCAACTTAACTTTTGAAAGTGTTCAAAATTACAAATTTAAAAATCGCTAATTTTCGAAATTTTTTCACTTTTTTTTCTTAAAACTTCCATAACTTTTTGAAAAATCAACAAATCAACATAATTTTTTTTTATACTAAAACCTTAGACATTTACCTTTCATTTGATATCATTTTTTTGAAAATCTATCACTTAACCTGCTCATTGGGGGGGATTTAAAATGGCAACTTTTTTACAAAAATTAATTTTTTCAACTTAATTTTTGAAAATGTTCCGGAAATACTGCGTCCTTTAAACATATATCAAATTAAAGCTTATTTTATGTACTACAAAATGAAAAAAAAAAATTTGTCCCGACACTTTTTTTTCTACATTTAAACGGCTGCCGTAGTTAAAAAAACACTATTTTTGTGTTAAAATTTTCGATTTTCGATTTTAAATTTTCAACTTAAAAATGCTATAACTTTTTGAAAAATGTATATATCAGCACAAATTTTTTTTTTCTAAATACATTATAAGTACATCTTTCATTTGACATACTTTTTATTAAAATTGGACAATTTCCCCTTATATAGGGGGCGTTCAAAACTTAAAATATTGTAAAAGACATAGATCTTTTTCAACTGCACTTTTGAAAATGTTCCGGAAATACTGCGTCCTTTAAACATATATCAAATCAAACGTTATAATATATACTATAAAATGAAAAAAAAAAATTTGTCCCGACGATCTATCTTCTATACGCAAATGGCTACCATATTGAAAAATATACTATTTTTGTATGATAATTATGGGTTTTGTATTTTATTTTAATAGAAGTTGATGTTGCTTTTGCAATTATCCATCAATTTTTTAAAATTAAACACTATCTACAGATTTGCATCGAAGCGTTTCTTATGATAGTGATTTTAATCACTGTCAGATTAAATCTATACTGGCAATGTCTCCACTATGCCGCGACCTCACTGTGCTACCGTTTTTAACTTTATATTTATATAACTTTTTGAAAAATGTATGGATCATTACAATTTTTTCATGAGAAGTACTATTTATATTTTTCTTTTATGCGACATACTTTTTTTTAAATCGGACCATTACCCTTTATACAGAGGGGGTTAAAAACTTAAAAATGCATGTAGAAAAAAGAACTTTTTCTACTTAATTTTTGTATGTGTTACGGAAATACTGACATTTTTAAATATACAGGGTTNTCGCATTTGAAAATACTTACGACTTAAATTAAAAATTGTCACTTTACTCTAGTTATATTATTAGTTATATATATTTTCAATATAATATTATTGAAATGCATTGTTATTAAACAGTAGAACTCCTATTAATAATTACTTTATCTAATTAATTTTTTTTTTTCAGGTTTTATGTAATGGTGCTTTATGTAGCATCGTAATGATTGGTGCAGTTGTACAGTCACTAGTTCTCGGTAATTTAAGACCCGTAGAACATGTCCAATTTCGTGAACGTTTATGGAATTGGGTTATCTACAAGTTCATATTTATGTTCATTATTTTAAAAGCATACACATTAGACAAAGTAGCCCTATGGTTATTTTGGTATTCCACTCTCGGTTTTCTACATCTAATGACTAGTTTGTGTAAAGATCGATTTGAATATGTAAGTGTAATATTCTATTTTAATTAATTTATATGAAACTTTAATCAAGAAGTGTTTTTTTACAACATTTTCAGTAGAATCTTAATTGTATGTAGTAAGGGTTGACAAGGTGAAAAGATTGCCTCCATTGACCTAGCACTTTTGATATATTTAAAAATATGTCTTTAAAGAACTTTTTTTTGTCATCATTTTTTTTTACAAAGAAATTTTCTTATGTGCTTACCAAAATGAAAAAACAAATAAGCTCTCCTAAAATAAGTTCTAAATACGCCCTTGCAAATTGGTGCGTAATATTAGATGTGTAACTAATTTAATATATTGTTTCAATAGTATTTTAAACGATAAATGAAGTTTATAAATATATATATATATATACATAAATATATATATATATATATATATAAATATATATATATATATTTATTCATATATTACACTTTTAAATCATAAAACTTGAAATCAGGATATAAACAAGGAAATAGGAGATCATGTAGCTTTTGAACTAATCCACCAATTTTTTAAAATTAAACACTATCTACAGATCTGCACCGAAGCGTTTTGTGATTAGAATAGAAATATTTGATCTTATTATTTGTTATGATTTGTATCTCGTGCATTTTTAATACAACGCATTAGTTCTTGAGAAACATTAAATAATAAATTTTACATAAGCATGTATAATAGCTATATATTTACACTTTAACTTATTTTCTTTTATTGTAAGGTCAGAAAAATTCATATTAACAATAATTACCAATGTATTGATAATATGACATAGTTTACACTGTATATTCTTCCAGTACAAATTAACACGTATATGTTAATGAATAACTCACAATTCTACATATTTAAGAGTTATGGTTAACCCATAACTTAGTATACTTGTCTATGGGTTAACCTTAGTGTAATAGTATTTATATTTTAATGTATTTTTATATTAATATATAATATATCTCATATAAAACTTACTAGCGTAAATATGCTTGGACGAAAATTTACTTTTTACTCAGTGAAGTTGATATTATTTAACACGAGTTAAAGAAAATCGAGGTTTTCATTTAATAGAATAATTATTACCCTTTACATTAATGAATTAATTAATTAGCTATTACCAAAAATTATCTATTAATAAAATCCTGACTATAACGGCGTTACTATGAAATAAATTTTCAACGACAACCACAGAACAATTTATACAGTGACATGCCTTTTGTTCTCTGTACAATTGGAAAACACTGTAATTTGCTTTTATATTAAGTATTCAATACACCTATATTCAAATTAAGTCAATTGGTGTCAATCATACCCTGTATTTACATCAAAAATTAAAAATTTAATACCCGATTAGAAAAAATCTAAAATTTCTCTATATTATGCTAGTTGTCTATACGGTTTTGTCAAAGGTAAATAATTATTTAAATTTAATCAAAATTATTCCATTTAACATATTGTATAATATTTTATAAAATCAATTCAAATTTTATTAACACTATGAAATTTTTCATTGCGTTTACATATAATAATGCGTATGACCTTCATTTTTATGTATTATTAATAAGGTTTATGCAATTCTAATTAAAAGTTGAGAATACAAAAGAGTAGTATTGTATTTTTTTCTGTATTTTAAGCCGTTTATATCCTTCTCTTCTAAATTAAGTTCCATTATTATTTGTATTAATTATAAATGTTTTAATTTACTTTCATGTAATATAATTTAAATTCAGAAAATGTATACTTTATTCTAGGATTAAAAAAAATATGTTTTACATTGTTATTAATTAATGGTTTAGTGAATTCCAAATAAATTGTTCAAAAAACTAAAAAATAATTATGCATTTTATCAATTATTATTTTATTAATACAAGTAATCAAAGAATATCGGGGTAAATCAAAACTTATTATATACTCCTGTATTTACAATGCTAGCGAAAATTTGAACAAAAAAAAACACTATAAACTATTAAATACTATTTAGAGTATTTATTTTAGATTTTTTATGAAATGTTTCTATTATTTTTACGTAACAAACTGGTTTTAAGAGCTTAAATATTGTCTAAGAAAATTTACACAGAACAAATAAATTGATTCGAAGTTCTTTTCTCATGTATTCTTTTCGCATTTGAAAATACTTACGACTTAAATTAAAAATTGTCACTTTACTCTAGTTATATTATTAGTTATATATATTTTCAATATAATATTATTGAAATGCATTGTTATTAAACAGTAGAACTCCTATTAATAATTACTTTATCTAATTAATTTTTTTTTTTCAGGTTTTATGTAATGGTGCTTTATGTAGCATCGTAATGATTGGTGCAGTTGTACAGTCACTAGTTCTCGGTAATTTAAGACCCGTAGAACATGTCCAATTTCGTGAACGTTTATGGAATTGGGTTATCTACAAGTTCATATTTATGTTCATTATTTTAAAAGCATACACATTAGACAAAGTAGCCCTATGGTTATTTTGGTATTCCACTCTCGGTTTTCTACATCTAATGACTAGTTTGTGTAAAGATCGATTTGAATATGTAAGTGTAATATTCTATTTTAATTAATTTATATGAAACTTTAATCAAGAAGTGTTTTTTTACAACATTTTCAGTAGAATCTTAATTGTATGTAGTAAGGGTTGACAAGGTGAAAAGATTGCCTCCATTGACCTAGCACTTTTGATATATTTAAAAATATGTCTTTAAAGAACTTTTTTTTGTCATCATTTTTTTTTACAAAGAAATTTTCTTATGTGCTTACCAAAATGAAAAAACAAATAAGCTCTCCTAAAATAAGTTCTAAATACGCCCTTGCAAATTGGTGCGTAATATTAGATGTGTAACTAATTTAATATATTGTTTCAATAGTATTTTAAACGATAAATGAAGTTTAATACCAATTGTCTAGAAATTTGTTTTTAATTTGCTTAAAAGTAAGAAAGAAAAATATAGAAAATAAAATATGATTAAGCATAGAGATCGGTGCAAATTACAACGTACAAAATGAATATTAAATGATTTTACGATTTTATTTTTTTTTATACTTTATAATACACTGTATTATTAATCTACAAAATAAAAAAAATTGCAATTAGCTCCTCCCAAAACCAATGATAGCTCTAAAGATTTAATGATATGAAAAACATTAAGACAAAAGTCTGTAAATTTAGACCTCACAAATTCATAATTATGTGTGTTATTAAATATCATGGGACTGTTGTCACAACATATTAAAATTCACCTATGTCAATAATTATTTAGCACGATCAAAGTGAGAGAATATTTATATTATAAGGCAACCTAAAATTAAATTTTGTTGAAATTACAAATATATATTTATTAAGTCAATTAAATTGAAACAATTTATATTATTTGAAAATATCATACTGTAGTTTTTGAGAGCTTTCAGTAAAATAAAATTGGAACAAAATTATATATAAACGAATTGTATTATTACAAAAAGAATAGTAATAAAAGCTTTTGATGTAAAATATTTAATTTGTTATCATGTACAATTATTATGAAGACTAGTCAAAAGTAAAGAATCTACAATATTTGCGATAACAATGTTATCAACAGATACATGTTATTTTTAGATGTTAATTTTTAGTTTGATTTAATGTTAATTATGCCAAAACATAGTGAAGTATTCATTTATTTTTAACAATTAATTAAAGTTACTCAATAATACTAAATATACTTAAAAAAATAATAATTTTTATAGTTTTTCATCATGTTAAAAGCATATTATTATTTTTTTAAATTTCAAAATTTTTAATTTTAATGGGTTAATGATGATTTTTGGACAATTATTTTGCAAGTTACAAAAATTTTTATTTATAAAGTGGATACAGTCTGTATATGTGTACGTATATTCCGCCTACGGTCTATAATCCATTCTTTGTATTAAATCCTTGTAACTTAATAAGTACTTATCCTAAATTTGTATCTATGTATTAAAATTGTTTGTAAAGAATGATAATTTTTATATTAAAAAAAAATTTTCTTTGTTTGATGTATTAATAAAAAATATGCTTTTAACGTAATTTAAATCTGTACAAATTATTTAAAAGAAAAAGTAACATAAAATATTTGATGGGCTAAAAGTTATTAAAAATATCACAACATAGTGGGATATTATATATTTCTTATATTTAGAAATAAAGATAACAGAAATTAAAGTTTTATGATACTTTAATTTTTTTTTTAAGTTTTCAGTAGTTTTTGAAAACATAAAAACTTATGTCTGACTTCTCAGCTCGATAGATTATTAATTTGCATACACAAAAATAGTGCATTTAAAAATGGTCACGAATTAAACATTTTTTTTAAATTTTATATTGATATTTAAATTTTTTACTATGATGATACTGAATTTAATTAACATAACAAGTTTATATCAGGAAATATTTTCTTACTATATTATAAATATATATTTCAATGTCAAAAATGAAAACATTTCTATTAATAAAAATTATTTACATAGTAAATCTATGTAATTATTATTCGATTTGCTATTATTTAATTTTGATGACGTTAACAAACTTCGTATACATTGTAATTTCTATGTGATTAATCATTTTTGTATTATATAATACTTACTAAGTATTTTATTTTTGAAATTTTTAAATTAAGTAAATTTAATTGTTGTGAGATTAAAAAACTTCATTCATTTGAATGAAAAGATTGTATTATCTGTATCATGATAAATTTAAGAGTGAAGACTTGGGAAGTTTTATCCTCCTAAATATTTCATTAGTTGCATATTTGCTTCCATTAAAAAAAATATTTTTCTCTAAAAATTAGCAATATTTTCAGATTTTGAATGAGGTGTATATGGGAGTAATAAAATGTTTAGTAATATTTATAAAAGGAAGTTTATAGGGCTTTGTTATATAAGTTCTATAAAGTCTCTAATTTTCACCTATGATATGTTTTAAAACTTGATTTAAAATTAAAATTAAATGTTTTATTATTGTTTCAAAATGTACTACATTTTCTATTAGGCCTATTAAAGATTTATTTTAAAGGCACCAGTTAATGATATGTACAAGGGTATCTCAGCTAGTTATCAAACAATTAAGAATTTATGGAACTTCAAAATTATTTTAAAAGTTTATTGTGGCAAATTAACTTATTATAATTGAATATAAAATTAATAATTTTATCTATTCTCTAATTAAAATACTTGTTGTGATCTCAAATAAAAAACAAATCTACTAACTTTAATTTAGTATAATTTAAAAAACCGTAAAGGATACTAATATAACTAAGTTTTTATTACTAATATTTTATTAAAATTCGTAAAAAATTAACAACATCACTATATTTTGACGTTAAAAAGTTTTACGAATGATTATCACTTATTGATAGGTACTATATTCATTAAACCAATTATCCTATCAGAATAATTTGTTGAAAAAAAAAATAGGTGCTTATGTAATTTTTTTCCCACTTTTAAGACCAAAGATGGTGTTTTATGTTTATCATTAAAAAAAAAAGATTATTTTTATGTTAAAAAAAAATACGTGCATTAATGCATGTATTTTAGCTTCGATGCGAAGCTGAGAAGGTATTGGTTTTACTATGATGTGTTTTTTTTTGTGTCTGTTACCACTTTTTCTCAGCTCTCACCGAACGGATTACTTTCAACGATACGTCAAAAGATCACAAATCGTATCTAGTCGAAGACATTACCCTACAAAATTGAAAAAATTTCCCTCGTTCCCCGTAAATGGGGGAAACCTCCAAAAAAATTACAAATTTAAAAATCGCTAATTTTCGAAATTTTTTCAATTTTTTTTACTAAAAACTGCCGTAACTTTTTCAAAAATGAACATATCAATATAATTTTTTTTTATATAGATGCTTGATGTCTTTACCTATCATTTGGTATATTTTTTTTGTAAATCTGACACTTAACCTGCCCACAGGGGGGGATTTAAAATGACAACTTTTTCACAAAAAATTAACTTTTTCAACTTAACTTTTGAAAATGTTCCGGAAGGTCTGACACTTTTATATATATCTTAAATTAAAGCTAATGTAATGTACTTTAATTTGAAAAAAAAAAATTTGACCTCTGGACTTGTCTTCATGGTGAAAACGGCTACCGAATGCTATTTTTGTGTGAAAATT